GGTGTAAGATGAAAGAAATTCCAGCATGCGTGTATGCTGGTGGGAATGATCTGGTTAGCTGACCAGCTGGCTGGTTTACTCAGGACTGAAGGGGTTCCCGGGACGTGGGACTGGCCATTTTAAAACAGAGAAAGCCTCCGGCAGACAGATGAGTTCAGATCACCTAGATGATGAAGGAGAGAGCGTTTCCTTTTCTTTGTGCCTTAAACCCATTTCCTGTGTTTCTTACCATCCCCAGTCTGGCAAAAAAAAAAACAAAATAAGCCTCCTTTCACCTCTCGCCATGCCCCTGCCCTCTGCACTCTGCAGTGTGGATTTCGGGGTCCCCAGGAGCAACCGCATCCAGTGAGCACGTAGGGCAGGTCCTGCGGGGCTCCCAGGACGTCAGTGCTGGAGCCAGTCCGGAGTGCCAGGCCCAGATGACGTGTTGGTGTTGGAAGGTTCCGGTTAGGTGATACGTTTCCCTGTGTGTTCTGACTGGCAGTCTGTCGACTCAGCCCCATTCTTAGGCCCCCACAGCCTGACCGCCTCCCTGTGTCGAGCGCTTCCTTCAGATTGGGGCGCGCTACTTATTGTGCTTTTACCCCTAGAGCTGCTGGTAAAAAAAAATGAGGCAGGGTCTCTGCTAACGAGATGGCTGGTAACAAGATGGGACCCAAAGTTGCATTTGCTGTTTTTTTCTACAGGATGACTCGGAGGACAGTGAAATTGACCTGGAAGATGATGAAGAGGATGATGACGGTTTGGAAGACGAGAGCCTCGCTCTCTCACCAGCCAAGCCCAGTCGGAGGGTTCGGAAACCTGAGCCCCTGGATGAGAGTGACAATGACTTCTGACCCTCTTGCGAAGGGACCCAGGCAGATTAAAACCCTCAGATCCTAGGTAAACGGGAAACCGGAGGTTTAGAAAGGTAACACATTTTGTTCACTAACCCAACTGGACTCACCATTACTAAGGCAATACCCACTTCTGCTGTTGCCTCCTGGGCTTGTATCCCCTGAAGCTTAAATAAGAACCAAGGAAAGCCCGCAGATGACTTTTGTTTTTTGCTTTATTTCTCTCCTAAAACTCGGGAAGTGCGAGTGTGCGTGCTGATTCACACCCACAGGGCAAAGCTAGAGACCTGAGAGCTAAGCAGTATGTAAGTCTGGGTTATTGTTACGCGTTTCTCTTAAGAGTCAGTGGAACAGACCTGGGGCTGGAGCTGGCTTTGGGAATGTTGGGGAGCATCTGGCGGTGGCTCACTGCACTACAGTAGATGCGAACGTCACTGTACGTCGGCTTTTAATTCTAGCCTTTGTTTTATGTCATACTTTCTTCTGCATGCTCACAGTACCGAACTGAAAGAAGGTTAGCTAAGTTAGATGAAAACCAGTTTTCCTTGATAATCAGGCGACAGAGGCTCCAGATGACAAATACCTCTTCTTCTCCCAGAGAGCTGGCATTGCGTAGGGCATCAGATTCACCTTGGGTTACAGCCACCCTCGCGTTTCCGCAGCTTGTACAAAGTTTGGAAACTTTGCTGACCTGGGTTACTCACTGTCCAGTTACCCCTTCAGAGATTCCAAACTCCAGCCACCACAAAAGCCAGTACAGTTTCTCCTTCCCACCAGCCAATATGTCTCTCAAGAAGCCTTTTCTTATTTGAATGATGGACAGTGTAGCAGGTTTCTTGCGTTTCCCTCCTTAGGGGAGGGAGCAACTTAAGGAAAAAGTGCTAGTACAGATTCTTGTTTTTGATTGATAACAGAATCTAGAATTGAATTCAGCAGAGTAGCTCTAAAAGAATCTCCCTGTTGTGAAATGAGAAGTGACAGATGTGTGGAATTTTTTTGTTTTGTTTTGTTTTTCATTGAAAAGCACAGAGTAGTTTTTATTTATTTTACAGTTATAAAGTCAAAAGACTTTTGAGGTTACTTATATTTTAAGAAATACATTTAATACCGTAGTTTTATATTATTAAGTAAGTTTTACTTGAAAGTATAATTTTTTTGTTTTTTGCATCTACAGCATATAAATACTTACACAAGAAAAGTCAATAGGTCAATATAATATCTTATGAATTTGAGGAGACTATGTGATAGTTAAGGAGCCCTGGTAGCGCAGTGGTTAAGTGCTTGGCTGCTAACCAAAGCGTTGGCAGTTCAAACCCACCAACCGCTCCATGGGAGAAAGATGTGGTGGTTTGCTTCCGTAAAGAGTACAGCCTAGGAAACCCTATGGGGTAGTTCTTCTCTGTCCTACAGGATCACTGAGTTGAAATCAACTCGACGGCAGTGGGTTTTGGTTTGTGTGACAATTATTTCTATTTTCTTGGCTTTTTTCTCTGTCTTTTCCTAAATTTTACATGTGAAATTACCTTTTTTTAAGAAAAAAATGCCGCATTTAGTTAATGTAGCAGTAATTTGAGATGCAGCATCTTTTAAATGAGAAGCTAGAAGGGAAATGTGTGCATTGAGGAGCTGTGCTGACTTCCTCAGCTGCTGTGGCTCATAGGGTGCGCAAGAGTCCCTGCATCTTCTTTGATGTTACAGCTTTGGCTTACCTGAATCTGATCTGACTTATATTTTAAAAAACACAAATATTTTCCTGTTTTCCTTGTGTGATGCTTTCTTGTAATGGGCATTCACATGGAAGCCCAACTTAGGCTACAGATTACACGTCCAAGGATACAGGCAGCAGCTGCAAAGGTTATGTCTCATCATTTGACCTGCTTCTTGACCATCTTTCATCCACTGGTTAAGTGACTGCACAAATCCTGACCGTGGAATAGTACTTCCTTGCTTGAGTGGTGTCTGTTTCAAGTCTTTCGTCATTATTATTAATGTGTTTCGGCCATCATAACGGATCCAGGAGTCAAATGTGTGGAAGTGCCGTGTGACCTGACCTTCATTTATTTTTGGCCAAGAAACAGAATAGGCCTCGGGCCCCAAAGAAGAGTGAGTGATTATTTAAATGAAAAAGTAGCATTTAGGTTATTGCTAACAGTTTTTTACTGTGTGATTTAAAAAACCTTTTCAAATGCTTTAAAATATGTGTATTGACAGAAAATATGAACCCACTGCTGTTGAGTCAATTCCGACTCATAGTAACCCTTGCCCCATAGGGTTTCCAATGCTATAATCTTATGTGTGTGTTGTGTGTGTTTGGTGAACGTTTATAAAGGAAATTAGGTTCACATTTAACAATTTCTGTACATACTGTTCTGTGACATTGGTTACGTTCTTCACAATATATTAGCATTCTCATTATTTCCATTTTGGTTGTTCGTTTCCATTAATCTAGCTTCCCTGTCCCCGCTAGCTTTCTCATCTTTGGTCTAGGCTAAATGTTAACCATTTGGTTTCATCTAGACAATTATTTTGAGGAGCACAATACTCACAGATGATATTATTTATTTTATGGGCCAATCTGTCATTTGGCAGAAAGGTGACTTCTGGAAGTGGTTTGAGTTCCAGGTTTAAAGAGTATCTCAGGGCAGTAGCTTCAAGGGTTCATCTAGTCTCTACCGATCCAGTTAAGTCTGGCCTTTTTTAGGCATTTGAGTTTTGTTCCACATTTTTCTTCCATTCCATCTGGGACATTCTGTTGGGTCCTTGGTCAGAACTGTCAGTAGTGATAGCCGGGCACCATCTAGTTCTTCTATTCTCAAGGTAGATGATGTCGTTGTTCATGTAGACTATTGGTTCTGTAGACGAAGTTTCTTCTTTGAGTCTTTGGTTTCCTTCTTTCTCTTTAGCTCTGGATGAGTAGAGACCAGTAGTTGTATCTTAGATGCCCCCAAGGTTGTAATCTTTACGGAAGCAGACTGCCACATCTTTCTCTAACAGAGATGCTGGTGGATTCAAACCAAACCGAAAGGTCAGCAGCCAAGTGCTTAACCAGGGCTCCTTAGAAAATACAAAGGAATTTTTCAAATTCTCAATTTTTAATGGTGGTAACCATCAAGAACAAAGTCCAGGGACATCCCGTGGAACATCTAAAGAACTATTGTATAAGTTATCTTTTCTATTTTGCTATGAAGGAGCCCTGGTGGCACAGTGGTTAAGTGCTTGGCTGCTAACCGAAAGGTTGGCAGTTCAAATCCACCAGCTGCTCCGTGGGAGAAAGATGTGGCAGTCGGCTTCCATAAAGATTACAGCCTTGGAAACCCTATGGGGCAGTTCTGCTCTGTCCTGCATGAATCCTGTCAGAATCGACTCAAAGGCCACAGGTTTGGTTTTTGAGTTATTATGTTATGATTGGGTCTCTGTGGGCTGGTTGGTTTTGTTCTGTTCATGACCACAGACTGAACCCCTTAACCATTTCAGACAACTTGAAGGTGTGTGATCATTGTTGAAAGAGTGAGGGAGGGAGGACTGGGTACAGAATATAATCGGAAGAAGGGCCCTGACGGCGAGGCAATAAAGATCACCTTTGGGTTTTAGAAGTGGCATATTTAAGTAATTTGGAGGGAATATTTTCTTATTTTCCAAGAATGTGAATAAGTGATAATGAGAAGAGAGCAGTTTTAAAGTAGCAATTTTAGGAACTCAGTGCGCTGTCAGGCCAGAGTCTGTGTGGCCTTGCTCTGGGATTGTTTTACTAGGATATGCTGCCTAGGACTTCTTATCAAACACTTACTGAGCACCCACTGTGTCTAGCTGCTGTGCTAAACACTGGGGAATTCAAAGATAATTACGTCTTAGCATCTGCCCCTGATAGGCTGACACCCTAGTAAGAGAGAAAGATGATTGAGCATTATAATACAGTGTGGTACCTGCAATGTTAAGGGTGTTTGTAGAGTTCCGTGGGAACCCAGAGTAAACAGCACCTTGCCTGGAAGAGTCAAAGAAGATGTCGATGCAAGTCAGATTTGGGCTGGATCTTACAGGCTGAGTTAGAGCCTGTCAGACAGAGAAGATCCTCATGGCATCATGGCAGGGCATGGCATGAGTATAGAAAGGCACAGGCTGTCCAAGCGCATAGCCTGTTGGGAAATGACAGGTAGTACAGGGTGGCCGAAGTGTGGGGTATTTGGTAAGGGAGTAGCAAAAGGGCCACGTTTGTCATGTCAAAGAATTGGTTGGGTTTTGTCCTGTAGGTGGTTAGCAATCTCCAGAGATGAGATCTTCTCAGAAAAATCACTTGGCACTATAGAAGAGAAACTGGGAAGGAGGATAAAGTGGAGGCAGGAAGGCTGGTTAGAAAGCTGTTTTGAGTTACAAAAGGAGCTAAGGGCCCACTCTTTAAGACAGTGGTGATGGAATGGAGAGCTAGATTCAGATGTCGAAAGAGACAGAGGGTAAATTGACAGGATTTGGGGACTGCTTATAATTGGGAGATAGGTTGAAGAGAAGGAGAAACTGAAGGTAAAGGAGAGTTCTGGTTTGGGTTAACTCGAGAGAGATACTAGAGGAAGAACAGGGAGAAGGGAAAGTTTTGGAGATGGGGAAAGATTTAGAACATGTTGAGCTTGAGATGTCGGTCAGACATCTTGGTTGTAATCAGGAAATATGCAAACAAGGAAGACTTCCTGTGAAACCTGACAAACCTAGTTTGTCTCTCCCCTTCTGAAATTCCACCAAAGTTAGAAAAAAAATTCAAAGGAGGTGAACCTACAAGGATAAAGAGAACCGAAGAGGAGTCTAGTGTGGACAAGATACCAACAGTGTTTTGGAACGAGGAAACAAATGGAGGAATTAGAGCTGAGAAAGCCGAGATCTGAGTGTCTGTAGAGGAGGGATTGAACTCATACTGCCGAGCCCTGAAAAGGCGCAGAAATTGGAAGCAACAGGTACTGTGGAAAGGAGGGGTGAGACATGGGGCTGAAAATAGGGAAATTGTTTGAAAGTCTGTGTAGGCAGCAGTAAGCCCCTCAGACCCTTCTTGTTTCCTAGACAGCCAGAGAATGACCCCTTCCCAATCTAGCAAGAAATTGGAAGTTTAGATTATGGATAAATTAGGACTGGAGAGGCTCTGGGGAGCCTTATTGAAAAATGGGGGATTCAGTGAAAGTCCACTTCTGAATAGTGAGACTCCCCAGCTACCTTGTGGTGCTCAGTTTCAAGAGTGTGGGCTGCCAGGTGTGTATCACCCCAGGTAGGGGATTAAAGGACTCTTCTGTGGAGAGAGTGAAAGGCCCAGTGGAGATGAAGTGACAAAACAGTAGATACTGACACATGGGGATTCCTCATCAAAATGGCTGGGTCACTACTTGGTCACCTTACACATGTCAGCAAGCCCTGCCTAGTCCCACAGAGTTTCCAGTCACCTCTTGAGTGCCTCATGGTTAAACGTAGATGGCCAAGGATCAACAGATATGAGAGTGTCCAATTTGAAAATGAAACGACAACAAGTTAACTGAATCCAGGAGCTAGGAAGAAACAAAAATCAGGACGTAGCTGAGAATTGTAGAAGAGTGCTAATCTCCTTAGAGGTATTAAAAGAAAATAGTGCATTCATGAAGCAAGAACTAGATGCTTTTAAAAATAATAAAAACTAGAAACTAGAGCTCTTGGAAATTAAACTATGCTAGCCAAAATAAAAAGTTCAGAAGAAGAATTGGAAGATAAAGTTGGAAGAAACTCTCTGAAGAAGAATAAAAAGAGATGAAAAACAGAAATGACAATTAGAGACTCACTCCCAGGGGGTCAGATAGTCCACTAACAGAATGTTGAGGAACAAAGGAACATGAAACAAGTTAGAAAGCGATCGAAAATAGAAGATTTCCCAGAAGTGTGTTAGAAGGATGGAGAAAGAAAACGTGGGGATGTGAGATGATGCACAAGTGCTGATTCATTGTTTTCCATGATGGGAAGTCAGTAGGGCCGGAGTGGGAAAACCTGGCAGTAAATGGGGCATCAGGTCGAGTACTGAGAAAGGTATTGCCTCAGTAGTTGGGCTGAAGTGGCCCTAGACTCAGCAATGTTTGCTTAAAAGCAAGCTTTGAAAGATTCAAACTCCTTCTAAGTAACTGTCCCAGAATCAAGGCCAATCATATTTTTTATTGTGTTTTTGGTGAAAGTTTACACAATAAATTACACAGTATTCATAGTAAACCTCTGAATACTATTTCTCACAGACACTGGTTATTCTACAATAAATTTACATAGGCTCCCGTTTGACAATTTCTGTGCAGATTATTCAGTGACGTTACATTTTCGACAATGTGTCAGCATTCTCTGTGTTCTGGTTGTTTCATTTCCAGTACTCTAGTTTCCCTGCCCTCTTATCATCTCATCTTTGGTTTAGAGTAAATGTTGACCTTTTGGGCTCATATAGATAAGCCCAATAATATTTTAAGGAGTATAAAAGTATTCAGCAGCTAACAAGATAAAATTCCTAACGTCTGATATCCAATAAAAAAAAATTACTAGGCAAGGGGAAAAATGGAGAAGAGAATTTCAAATTCTTATGGAATCTAGACTTTCTAGAGCCAGTGAGGCTGGATAAACTCCCAAAACTGTTCCCCTGAGATAATCTTTAAACCCTTAAACCAGAAATATTCCCTGAAGTCTTCTTTAAACCAAACAATAGTTTAGCTTAATTAGTAAAGAATGTCTGCCTTGAGAATTGTACTCAAATTGACAACAGCAACTAGAAAGATTAGGTGGGAAACTTAGAGGGCAGTGAGTTTATGTTAATGGTGAGGAACAATTCAGAAAAGGAAGGTGAAAATGGTTGCACAGCTTGAAGAACGTAATCTGTGTCACTGAACTGTGTGTAGAAACTGTTGAATTTTTGTTTGGCTGTGTATATTCTCAATAACAACATTTTTATTTTTTAAATTACCAGGCATAATGAGAAAAATCAAAAAACAGATCCAGAACTGATACAGATGATACTATTAGTGGACAAGGACATTTAAACAGTTATACCTATATACTGTATATTCAGACAGTAGAGCATATTAAGGAGAAGTATGGAAGATATAAAAAAGTCTCAACCAAAACTTCTAGAGATTGAAAAAAATATCTAAGGTGAAAAATCTGCTAAATGTGATTAACAGTAGATTAGACACTGCAGAAGAAAACATTACGGAACTTGAAGTCATAGCAGTAGAAACTGTCCAAAATGAAAAATAGAGGAAAAGACAACAAAAACACTATGCAGGTTAACAATGTATTGCCTCAGCTCCAGATTCACCTTTTTTGTCTGCTCTGTGATCATGGGTATTGACCTTGTAAGTATTTTTCCCTTGCCAGCCAGCAAGATGTTGAGCCTCGTCCATACAGCACTGGAGAGACTTTGAAGGAGGAAAGGATTTTCTAGTTCTAGTGTGACTTCCTCTCAAAGTCCCTGGAAAAAATGACTTTTTCCCCCACTGCTTTGCCTCTGAGGTTTCTCCAGTTCTTAGTTCCTGCAGGGTGCAGCTTTCTCCAGCGTTTGCCTACTGTAACTCTCTCTTCATTCTGCCAAGGTCTCAACTTGGGCAGAAACAATGCAAATCGGAAGACAGTGAAGCAGTATTTTTAAAGTACTGAAAGAAAAAACTGTCAACCCAGAATTCTATACCCAGCAAAAATAGCTTTCAAAAACCAGTAATCCTCAGTTTTGAAATAATGCACTTTATAGCTGGGTTTTTTTTTTTTTCCTTCAGTCTGGGGTCTGATCAGAGGTTTTGCATTGCATTAAATAATTGTATCTCTTTAATCTCTACTGTAAAACTATCTCCCAGCCTTTTTTGTTTCTCATAACATTGACACTTGAAGAGGGCAGGCCAGGTGCTTTTCAGAATGTCCCTCGGTTTGGATTTTGTTTAATTGCCCTCATGATTAGATTTAGGTAAGCATTTTTGGCAAGAACACCACATCAGCAACGTGTCCTCAGTGCACCACGTCAGGGGCACGTGATGTCCATCTGTCCCACTGTTGATGAGTGAGCCTGATCCCATGGTTAAGGCGGTGTCTGCCAGATCCCTCTGTTGTTAAGGTACTTTTTTGTCTTTGTAAATACCCCTTTGTGGGGCGATACTTTGAGACTGTGGCATCTTCTTCCCCGGCAGGCCTTCAGCCTCCATTGATGATTCTTGGCCTGACTACTCATTTTTAAGGACACATTTTGGAACAGCAGTAATTCCTGTCCCCGTTACATGGCTGTGCTTTCAGGTCCTTTGGCAGAGGCCCCTTCCCTTCTCTGTGTTGGTGCGGAGTACCGTCCAGCACCTGCCTGTGGTGACCTTGACTCAGGAGAGGTGGCCGTGGCCTCCTCTGATAGCACTTTTCCTTCCCCCTTGGAGGGACCAGCTCTCGTGCTGGGTCAGCATCCTTCCCAGATGGCAGGAAGGAACCTCGGAAAACAGTCTTTCTGTTTGAAAGCGTCCCGCTGAGTCTCTGCCCATCCTCCTGCCCGGTCCACCAGGAACTGCTTCTGCTCACATTTCGACAGTGCAGGCGGGAGCGTTCGTCTTGATAGCCTCTGAGATCATCCTGGCGCCAGATTCCCCAATGTGATTTCCCTGGAGACTAGAAGAGAAGGGGCTTGAAAACTTGGCTGGAGGGGGTAGGGGCTCACTGTCGATAATGTGGAGCTCTCTGCAAAGCCTCTTGCTTCCAGGAAAGCCCCATAGACTCAGGCTCCAGATGGGCCCCTCGCACTAGTTTCACTCCGGAGCTGCTGACGGAGTTGGGGGTCAGCTGGCTCCCAGAATCAGGCCAAAGGCAGGGCCTGACCTCGGGGTGAGCGCGAGTGGCCGGCAAGGGCAAGACGGTGCTGAGCCCCACTCACTTGATGTGCTGGAGCCTGTGGTTTCCGGCCAGTGCAGTGGCCACGCAGATTGCCCCGTCCATCCCCAGAGAGTTCTCCTGAAGACTAAGCAGAAGAGATGGAGGGACCACGGTGAGCCCTGAGAGCAGACAGACAGGCCTGAGGAAGCAGTGCTGAGTTATCTTGTGGGGCAGTGGACAGAGGACAAGTGGTTCTCTGGTTGATTTGTCCCCAGACGCCATAGCAACAGCTAGGTGCCATTTAGCTCTTGCGACTGGTGTCTACAAGTAGCCAGGTTGCCTTATCCACATGCCACAGATGGTGGAAGACCATAAATGTAGATGCTGCTTAGCTCCAACTGAAGCGAAGCAGAACGAACAGACCCATTTGCAGTGGCATATGGACTGTAGAAGTGAGGACAGTCTGAGTCCTGTACGTTCAGAAGGAAGCAGCGACAGGAAGTGAAAAGCGTTTCTCCTGTGGGGGAGAAGGGAAGAAGTGGGCTGCTCTGGGACAGCCACTTACTTGAGTCTCCGGAGACTGGAGTTTACCTTCAGAGCGTTGCCCAGGGCTTTGGCCCCTGCCACCCCGATGGCGTTTCCTCGTAAGCTGTCAGGAAAAATGGGAAACCTGAGGTGCGGTAACAGGCTGAGAGGCGGTGGTGCTCCCTCCTCCTCACGTGTGTGTGGGTGTCTTGATGGAGGAAACATGGACTGCAGCAACCATCAAAGGGGGGTGCTCCGTCCTCACTTCCCCAGCAACAGGACTGAGCCCACCTAAGGCAGGGGTGAGGCTGGCCTGACTTGGGTGGTTTGCTGGCACTCTCATCCTCCTTCTTCACTCCAGAGGAAAACTGGGCTGACCCAAGAGAGGCATTACTCCATCCCACGGATCCCCAGTGTGCTCAGCATCTCAGGATCCGCAAGAGCAGGGGTGACCTGGACACGTCTGAGGGCCTCACAGTGCCGGAGGCTGCCACCCCCAGGAGTTTGATCTTCCCATAGACCAAGATTAGTGGCCACTTGCCACTCTAGGAGCCCCTGAACAGGGCCTCGAGCATGTTCAGCTTGGACCAAGCCAGCCTGGACAGGAGAGCAGGGGCGTACAGAGAGGTGGGGCTGTGAGGGAAAAGACATGGAGAGCGTGGGAGCGGCGAAGCTGGGGCGCGTTTCATCTAAGTGAAGATCACTGCAATGAGCTGGGAGCTTCCATGCAAATTGGCATATTTTTCTTCTTTCATGTCTGTTCAGTTTCAATCAGCAGTTTGGTTTCTTAGGGCAAGGGATGGAGCCAGCGACTGGAATACTTACTCAAGAATCTCCAAGGTTCTGTTCACCGCCAGGGCTTCCCCCAGGGCCTGGGCCCCAGAGGCACCGATGGAGGTCACCTGGAGGCTGTTGGAGGAGGTACGGTCAGTGCAGGACCCGCAGGGCCTCTTCAGCCTCACACTTGCCCCCAACCCAGCCTTTTTCCACCTTCCCCTTCCGTTCATCCCAGCCGCCTCTTGACTGAGGGCTGAAACTGGCCAGATAGCACTGAAAACTGTTGGCCAGTGATCTGTCCAAAGACATCTGCAACTCCCACAGCTGTCTGCTGCCTAGGACAGGGACCTGGATGCTAAGGGTGTAAGAGCTGGAGGCAGCCTCCTGGAAGGCTTCGGGGAGAACACTCACTGGACCCTTAGCTCTTAACTCTCCAAATGGTCAATTTCCCAGTTGTTAAAATTAGGAAAATCAAACACACTTTCCTCGATTGGCACACAAAATTGTTGTTTAGCCTGGGAGGGTAGAGAGGGCCAGCTTCCCGGACTGCCATGCACACCGGGACTTACTAGAGGGCGGTGAGGGCCGTGTTTGCCTTCAGCGCCCTGGCCACTGCGGAAGCTCCGTCGTCCCCGATGGCGTTCTCCTGTAAACTGAAGGCGCGCGCTGAGCTCCTTCAGGCCACACGGGGGCGCGGCCAGGCTCTAGCCAGGACCTGCAGCACCCGGGCCTTCTAGATTGAATTCAGACCCCACACACACACGCATAGACATTGACTTCCAGGGGCCTTCATAGGCATCTCTTTCGTGATTTAGTTGATAAGAACTGTGGTGTCCGTTTTGATTTTTTTCCAGGGGTTGCCCTGGGAGACAATTGCCCCACCTGTGCTGCCACCGCAGCCCTATAGGCTCATCATGAACATCCAGAAGGGTCCCGCAGTCAGAGTCAGGCAAGAAGAGGACACACAGAAACACTGTCAACAAGGATTTGGACCAAAAAGGGTGTGTTTTTCACTGGCAATCATAAAATTCAGCTGAAGCCCTCGATCCCTGAGGAGTTCTTGCTGCTCTGGGTGTTAAAACAGCTTTTTTCCCTCCAAACGGGGGGAGAGCAGCAGCCCTGGAGCAGTTAAGGGAGCCGTTTGCATGAATTATTTTAACAAACGTTTGAGCGGGTGTTATGTCCTAAGGGAGCCCTGGTGGCGCAGGGATTAAGAGCTTGGCTGCTGAGTTGGCAGTTACAAATCCACCAGCTGCTCCTTGGAAACCCTGTGGGGCAGTTCTGCTGTGTCCCGTAGGGTCTGTGAGTCGGAACCAGCTCGATGGCAGCACGTCTGGTCTGGTTTGGTTAGGTATGTGCTAAGTGTTGTGCAAAGCAACAGGCCCACTTCCGCCCTCTTGGGATTCAGGTGGGAGGCAGGATTAAACAAGGAGTCACAACAGACCAGGTGCAGGCTGCCGGGGCCCGTGGGGTCACCCGCCCCAGTGTGGTCACACATGGCTGCCCAGAAGAAACAGGTCTAAACCAAAACCTGAAGGATGAGAGATGGCAGAGAGGGCCTGGCACAGGTGAGGAACCCAGGGAAGCTGAGTCTCAACCCCTGGGGCAGAGCTGTCCAGGGGCGTGATGAGAGATGAGGCCAGGGAGGAGCAACGCCAGCAGACCCTTGGACCTTGGGGCCACGGTGAGGGACTGGGCTTCACCCTGCAGACTTGGGCAGCCATGTCGGGCTCTCAGCCAGGAGGGGTCAGAGTCACATTTAGAAAGCTTTCCAGCCAGTAGTATGAGAAGAGGGACTGGATGTGGACGAGAGAACTAGCTAGGAGGCTGTCACGGTCCTGCAGGTGAATGATGGTGGTGGCCGGGGTGGCATGGACGGACGGGAGCGTCATTGGAAGGGAGAAACCTCAGGATGTGGTGTGCAGGTGAACTGGAAGCAGTGGGTGAGCAAGGAGGGGATGTCGCACGTTTGCACCGTTGCTCGGCCGGTTCCATTCACGAGCAGGGGAGCCGGGAAAGGGGCGGGCTTAGGGGAGACAGTGGGGGCACTCTGGGGTGCCTGTGTGACACCTAAGTGGAGGTGCGGCATGGGCGTGGATACGTGGGCCTGGAGCTCAAGAGAGGTCTGGGGTGTGGATGTGGGCATCTTTGGCACTTTGAAGGTAACTGGGGCCATCGAAGGAATGAAGTTCTGATACCTGCTACAACATGGATGAACCCTGAAAACATTATTCTAAGGGAAAAAAGAGACGAGGGGACAAATACAAGATTCCACGTATATGAAATATCTGGACTAGGCAAACGCATAGCCACAGAAAGTAGCTGAGTGGTTGCCCGGGCTGCTCTCTGGGGAGATGACAATGTTCTAAAATTGATGATGGTCACACGACTCAGTATATGAGAAGGCGTTGAATTGTACACTTTAAATGAGTGAGTTATAGCTCAAAGCTGTTACGTTAAAAAGCAGCACTGAGAAGTGCCCGCTGTGGCACCCGCCCCCACCGGCAGCCTCTGCCGAGGCCCCACTTACTCCAAGCTGGCCAGGCTGCTGTTGAGCTGTAGTGCTTGTCCCAGGGCCTTGGCCGCTTCGGCCTGGAGGAAGTTCCACTGCAGGCTGGGCAGACACGGACGCTCGTGAGCACGCAGCCCGGGAGCTGACCGGGGAGGCCCTGGAGGCTCCCGGAAAGAAGATGCTTCTCTCGGGGGGTCTGAAAGCTGGGCGTGGCAGCTCCCATAGGACGGGGTCCTGACCACTGAGGTGGACAGGAGAATTCCTGCCCCTCTCCTCAGGCTTAGTCCCCAGAGGGTCCCCGTGGACTCTCTGGCGAGGGCCGTGCACAAAGTATGTGACACCGGAGGGACAGCCGTCACCGTGCTTGTCTGTGAGTCAGCCGGAGGAAGCAGGATGTGGGGTTAGGACAGGCCCCTGAGACTGGGTCTGTTGCCTCAGTTTAGGGGTGGCCTGGTGGGGGAGGCAGAGCCACAGACTCACTGAAGGGAGGTGAGGGCACGGTTTTCTCTGATGGCCTCGGCGATGGCCTGGGCACCCTGGTCGCGGAGGAGGTTGGCTGTCAGGCTAGGAGGAAGGAGACAGGAACAGACCGAGATGTACCAGTCTTGGTCACCGGTGAGCCCAGACCGCTCTCGCCACCCACCCCAGGACCGCGTCCATGTCCCCGTCAGTGGTAGAACTTTTATGTGCCAGGCATGCAGTGGGGCTTATGGTGCTGAATCCTGACAACCCCATGAGGCAAGTGTCACCAGGCTTGGCAAGGGCAGTGACTGCCAGGGTCACAGCCAGGAGTTGGCAGAGCCAAGATTCCAGCTGGGTGGTCCGCGTGGGGGGCCCATACTGCTAACCCCTGCGCTGCCTGTTTGTCACCACAGGGACGAGGTTGGCAGACCGTCTTGTGATTTACAAAGCGATTTACAGCTTTTTTGGAAATGGAGGGCAGAGGTGGGAGGACCTGGGTCAGAACCAGGTGAGGAGGGTGTGGTCTCATCATGGCAGCATGCCCACGAGCCCCCAGACCCCGGGCCAGGGAAACCACTGGCATAAATAACCCTCAGGCAGCATAGCCGTGCCCCCTTCTCAGCCCCCCCGCCCCGCGCCCCCCACATACTCCAGGTTCTTCAGCGTGCTGTTGGTGCAGAGGGCGCGGGCAAGAGCCTGGGCTCCCTCTGGATTGATGGAGTTTTCTCGGAGGCTGAGGAAAGAGAGAAGACCCTGAGCTTCTGACCTGGTAGATGGAGGCCTTGGCCAGGAGACAAGCCAGAGGTTTAGGCTTCTCAAAGCTCAAGAGCAACCTCAGGGGACACCTGGGCGTCCTGAGCGACCTGAGGTGAGGTGTGAAGGAGCCTGTTCCACAAGCTGGGTTCACGTTCCTAGCTAGGCGGAGGAGAGTCCAGGAGGAGAGGATAAGATGACACACCTCCAGGTGTGAGGGGCAAGAGGCAGGTGAGCCTGTGTGGGGCCTAAAGGGCCTCATCTAGGAAGGGAGCAGAGAACAGGCCCTCCCGTGACAGCAGACAGTGACGGGATGCCAGGGTCCCGAGCCAGGCCTGCGCTTGACCATAACAGACCCCACGGGGGTACATGTGGGCTCCCCAGCATTGGCCTGTCCTCCCAAGTTCCAAAGTCCCTTCAGACTCCCGTGGTCAAAGAGATGTGGTTGCAGAGGGGTAGACCAGGACTCACTTGAGGCTGAGGAGGGTCTGGTTGGTGTAGAGGGCCCCCATCAGTGCAGCCACCCCAGCGTTGCTGATGGAATTGCTCTGCAGGCTGCAGACAGAGGGCGGGCTCACTTGGCATAGCAGAGGCTGTCCCAGGACCCGAGGGAGCCACACGGTCCAGCCTGGCCCACAGTGCTGGGTTCAACAGGGAGGGAGGGGCCCTGGGGGTAGGTTCCACCCCACATCTCTCTTCTCATCACACATTTCCTCTCCCATCCTAGAGAGGCTAGGTGAGGCAGGTGGGTTCAGCACCACAGGCCTGAAGTTTAGACTCTTCTAACTTGATATGGGTGGCTCCAAACGGCCTCTGAGGGGCATGTGTTGTGTCTGCAACCCCCAGAGCAAGTGATGAGGTAGAGTCCTCGGTGTGGGGGCAGTGCCGAGCTCTCCCACCCCGCTCCAAGCTACTGCAGCTAACCGGTGTTTGGTCATCTGCACCAGCTCTTCAAGGGCACTGCGTGCTTGTTGTCACTCTGAAAACTCCAGAACCAACCAAACCCCTACTGTCCAGGGGAAGTGGAGCTGGCGGGGTACGTGGGTGGGTGTGGAGGGAGAGAGACTGAGATCAGAGTATGCCCAGGGTTTGTTGTTGGTTGGTTCACTTCTGCCAGGGAAGTGTCCCTGACCTGCAGTCTCCCTCAACCCCCTGCCGCATCTGCTGGATGGAGACCCCAGGGGAATCACCCGCTGCCCACAGTACCCCTGGAGGGTGTCAGACAGACTCACTCCAGGCTCTCCAGGCCCTGATTCACCTTCAGGGCCTCAGCCAGGGCCTTGGCGCCTCCATCACCTATGCTGTTACTGGAGAACCTGCAAGAGATGGGACGTGGGTGAGCCAGCTTCCTGAAGTAGCCAGGCCGGTCCTGACCTAGAGGTCAGGGTCCAGGAAGCCCTCTCAGGGAGGACTGTCTCTGTTGTTTCAGGGATGCCCAGTGCATTGTTGTGCCTGAAACCTATTGACTGGTAGCCTCTGCAAGTGACCACCTGCCTCCTGTAAGAGGTCAGAGTGGCAAAGTCCTTGACTCCCTGGCACTGAGAAGTATCTGTGGTTCTTTATGCTATCTTCTAGGTAGGAAGGCAGTAGAATGTGAACCTGAGGAGATCAAGGTTCACCCAGTCCTGGATACCTGGATCTCCATTTTCCTGGTCTAGGAGCCAGCCATCCTTCACCCACATATCCACCTACCCATCCATCCACTCATCCATCCATCCCCATCCACTCATCTACCCATCCATGTACTCATCTATCAATCCATCCATCCTTCCACCCATCCATCTACTCATCTGTCAGTCCATCCATCCTTCTTTCCTTCCATCCATCCACCCATCTCCATGCTCACAAATATTTGTGGTGGGCTGGACATTGTGCAGGCACCCGGTATACCAATTTGGCCCTTCTGCATTTCTCACATGAGCTCCTTCAGACTCCTGTTCTGCTTCAGGGCGTCTGCCATCCGCTGGGCTCCCACGGGCCCAATGGAGTTCTTCTGCAAGCTGTGGAAGAGGAGAGAGGTGCCTCAGTAAAGCGGCCACAGCCACTCCCAGGCCTAGGACAGTCTGGGGTCAAGGACAGAGGGCAGAGACTACTAGACCAACTAGACTAGAGATTACTTCCTTTAGAGACTAGTGACAACTTCCTTTATCACAGCATGGGGTGGGGGGTGGTTCTCCAGGAAAAGTCTGTGGATCATTGCCAAAGTGTCGCCAATGACATTATTATGTGGGAGAGTAAGAGGCGAGGACAACCAAGCCTTCCCTGCCAAGGGGCTGGAAAGCAGTGAGTGGTGGATACTGAGAATACCCACCATCTCCCAAGTGAGACTTCCATGTGCAAGTCCTGCTGCCCCTCACTCCAACCACCTGCCAAACAGTCAATAGTCTGCCGCCTGCCTCCCAACCCTAGAACCCTCCCTAGAAACCTTGCTAGCAAAGGCCAGAGGGCAGACCCTCCGTATTGATTCCTCTTCTCAGATAGCTACTTCCTTTTATACTAAATCTGGTGGAAGGAGATGTGACAGGAGAATCCCATGTGGCTGGCGAGAAATCCTGGCCCTTTGGCTCCTGTCCTCATTCTGAGAGGACAGGCAGGGCAGGACCTCTCCTGTGAAGGGTAAACACAAATCTAAAAAATGGAACTTTCCTGGGGCCCAAAGGGAAAGAGACCTGTTCCCTCCTCCCTTTTTTCCAAACATTTCTTTGAGAAAACTTGTAAATCCCTTCTCTGTCCTTTTGAGATGTATGTAAACATTTTCAAAAGCTACATAAGTCTCCTGCCAGTTTTACAACCCAAGGATGGCCTTGGAGCCTCCTCTTTGAACTGCAAACATCAAGGGAGATAGTGCCCCAGCATCCCGGCTCCCTGCCTTCACACTGGCTCCAGGTCGTATCTACCTGCTTGCCGTGGAGATGTGAGAGGTTTTGTTTTTCCTGTGGATAAAGGCAATTAACCAACACAGGTGGCCACCCCAGTTACCAGGTGAACTTACGATGAACTACACGTGACAAATGGTGCTGCCAAGTCCCCTGAATTGAGACTAATAATGGTTTCTCTTGAGAACACGTATGTAGTGAGTTGAATCTGCCTGGCTATGTAGAAGGGTGAGCTTGCCTCCTATCTTGCAGTCTCATTAACTAATTGCCTAGAATACATGTCCCAGTCTGGTTTAAGGCTTATTCAGTAATAAAACTGTTTTGTTCTTTGCTATACCTGTGGACAGGATTTTCTGAGTGGGCGGGAGATTTTATTTTTAATTATTTCTCCAACACCTGTTCTCTGGAACAGAGTTGGGCATTGAGTTTTCCAGGGGCCATGTGGACAGGTCAGAAAGCCTCAGGACCTTGCCCCATCCATTCCTCCTTGCAGAAGACAGACCCTTGGAGAAGGGGCAAAGAGGACAGAGGAGGGCTTCTGGTGGCAGCATGTCAACTCACTGTAGCATGCAGAGGGTCCGGCTGGAGGCCAAGGCCTCAGCTATGGACCCAGCACCATCGTCCTTGATCATGTTGTTCTGGAGGCTGTGGAAGTGAGGAAGAGAAACATCACCACGGAGCACAAGAGGGCACCCAATGATGGCCTAAGCTCTCATGCAGTCACCAAGCTCCTCAGAGTCACCGAGGCCCAAGGGGGAAGCAGCTCTGACCACTGCATGCCCTTGCTGCCCACTGCACAGGAACTGGAACAATTGGCCCTTCCCTCACCTCTTCCAGAGGCCACTGCTTAGGTTTCCCCCTGGCTCTATAAGTACTTGCCTGCTGACTGGGAACAATGTGTCCGTAGTATCTGGATAACAATTACAAGGTCACCAATAGCTCTAATTACAACTAAAAACAATAGTCCCTAAGTATGAGTGAGGATGTGAAGAAATTATAACCCTCATCATTGTTGATGGGAATGTAAAATGCTGTAGCTGCTGTGGAAAATGGTGGGGCAGTTCCTCAGCAAGTTAAACATAGAATTACAATTTGACCAAGCAATTCCGCTCCTAGGTATATACCCAAGAGAAATGAGAATATATATTCACACAGAAACTTGTGTACAAATGTTCATAGCAACACTATTCACAATAGCCAAAAGGTGGAAATAATTCAAATGTCCATCAATGGATGAATGGATAAACAAAATGTGGTATATCCATACTATGGAATATTATTCAGCCATAAAAAGGAATAGAGTTCTGGTACATGCTACAAAGTGGATGAGCCTTGTAAACATGATGCTAAGTGAAAGAAGCCAGATACAAAAGGTCACATATTGTATGATTCCATTTATATAAAATCTCTACAATAGGTAAATCCATAAAGACAGCAGATTTGTGGTTTGCAGGGGCTGTAGGGGGTAGTGGGGAATGAGTATGGAGTCTTCTTTGGGAAAGGTGAAAATGTTTTGAAATTAGATGTGGCGGTTGCACAACATTATGAATGTACTAAATGCCACAGAATTGTACACTTTAAAATGGTTAATTTTATGTTATATGAATTTCACTTCAAAAAAGAAAGTAAATGAAAAAAAAAAAGATAATATCATACTGAACTTCGGCCCTGCTAAGGATGGATACAATCACAGGCACCTAAAAAGGACACAGCTAACCACACCAAACCATAGGAACCTTCTGGAATGTGGGCTTTTCAGTGTGCTAGAAAACACTTCATGGGAAAATTCTGACACCATAGCTTTGGGAATTTCCTGTTCAATAGAAAACGAGGTTTTCCTAACATTATTTTGCCCTTCCCCATCTCTATGAACCCCACAACCCCGCTTTTCCTCTGTTCCCTTCTCAGGCCATAAACACAAGCACAATGACTCGGGAAGAGCCGGATCTTGGAAACTTGCTTAGGATACGAGATCCTGTGGTATCCAGTGGGATTGGGGCCCAGGCCTGCCATTTTGAATTGCTTCCTATTCCATAGATGGCACCCGAGGAGAGGGTTTTCTAGGCTCTCTCCTGGGGGCGGCAGAGACGGGGCAGGTAACGTACCTCAGAGAAGCCAGAGTCCGGTTAATCTTCAGAGCATCTGCCAGGGCCTTGGCCCCTTGAGGCCCAATGGAGTTACCGCGGAGGCTGGTAGAAGGAAGAGAGAGAGAATTATCCTCTTTCCTCTGACTCCTAGGGAGGGAAGGATGAACAGAAGTTACACTGACCTTTAAATCTATGATCCTTGAAAAGAATGAGTCAGGGTTTAGGATTTCATGTTTGAAGGAATCGGGGCAGAGATCCTTATATAGTCAAACAAGGAAGAAGTTTTCCAAGATAGTCCCATGTGATGGGGAAACAAAAAAAAAAAGGACTTGATGGAAGTGGGTTTGGGTACAATGAGGAGAATGATAACCCCATATTCAGCATTGAAAATGGGCCCTGAATGAATGAACCCAGAGCTTCACTGGGTCAGGCTCCACAGTCCTGGGGGATGACACTCGGACAGCAGCTAGGAGTGGCCATGGCTTTGCTTGCTCAGCTGTCCTTCCAACCCACCCAGAAGAAAGTGTGGTCCGAGGTGAGGCCTCCCTGTTTCCTACTCCTACAGGAGTGAGGGGCCACCAGGGGCCCAGAGACCTTGGAACCTGCTCTAAATGAAATATTGGTACCATAACCAGAGGTTACTCATGGGCTGAATCTGGGGAAGCAGGGAAAGATGGATAAGACTCCAGTCATTTCACAGGAGGGGGAGGAGCCTGTAAGAGATGATTCACAAGCTCTCCTTGTTCCAATGGCGAAACCTAGGCCTTTGGTATCCTACTTACTCCAGAGTGGTCAGACTTCTGTTGACCAGGAGGGATCTGGCCAGAGCTTTGGCTCCTTTGTTGCTAATCTGGTTCTCAGCCAAGCTGCCCAAGAAAAGGGAGAGGAGTGGTTATTCACGTCCATACATCCCATCATCTCTTCCTTCATGCCATACCTGTGATTTGAACCCCTGGGCCTCCGCAGCATCAACAGGGCCTGGACACCGGTAGAGATGCAGTGGCCCTTTGGAACAGGATGGCCAGGCACAGGAACACCCCGATCCTGGGCAAGGTGTTAGGCCAGAGTGGGTGGATAGACCCTCACTCTGGCAAAGGATTCCAGGGAAAGGTTTGGCCAGAATCCAGCACAACAGCTTCTATACACATAGCAAAGCAAAGAGGGCAATTACAGAAGCCCACCATGCGGATCCCAGCCAGTGGTATGCTGATAAACTGGCTCTCCGAAAAAAAAACAAAAAACCCGATTGTAGTGTTTGCCAATTTCCATGGTGTAAATACTCCCACCATGACCAATTTCAAGCACCAACAGTTTAACAACCAGCTTGCAAAATTCCTGAAAATATAACCATCAGCTCTCACACACTGGTGCAAACTGGTTCCAGCATACTACTGATTCTAGCCTTTCTCTAGTGAAAGAAAAGCTAATGGGACAGTTGTTACAAAATTAACCCTAAAGTAAAAAAAAAAAAAATCTATATCTGCCTTGAAAGGGCGATTCCAGGAATATGCTAGTGGATCAACTTAATCTTGCTTCATGTATCCAATTTCAGAAGTGGTAGCTGTTGAAGCTTTTTACAGTTTTTTAGGCATTTAAAACTGGGGGGCAGCCCCATGGGATACGGTTGTTCAATTAGATCCCCAGGCCACTGCTTTGTAATTTATGTTCCAAGGGCCCCTAGGGGACCTCAGGAAAACTTCAGGAGCTAACAAGAGGCTGATGAGGAAACCACATGGGCTGGGCCCCCACCCCCACTTCTTTCAATCCTAGCAGTTCCCCTTTTATCTGTTTTACATATTGGGGTTCTGCCTGACATCTGTTTTTAAAAAGGTGCTATTTCTTTAAAAAAAAAAAAAAAAGTGTGAAGACCATTCCTCCAAGCCACCTTCTCTATAAATGTTTCAGATTTTAGAGAGCCTCTGCCAGCCCAGGACTTTTATAACATGGTACAAGTAGTAATTTATGAGCCATGTGAGTTTTCTGAAGGATGACTTGGGCATTTCAAATAGAGATGTGGCGTGGAGAACCAACTACCTAGCGGTGAAGAAGGGCACGTGGCCATAGAACTATTTGGCTTTGCTCAGATGAATTTCTGAGCATTGTGTAGCCTCCTTTAAAAAAAACACTTAAAGTTGGCTATCTTGTCATGTGCTAAAAATGCTGGAGACTCCCATGAAGTTAAAAAAAAAAAAAAAAGTATTTTTCTTTCAAAGAGGTTACATTTATATCTCTTGCTAACAAGGCAAAGGTAATACCACTAATGACAGCTGTTTCTTCCCTGATGCCTCCTCTGTGCCTGCCTTGTCCTAAGCACTTGAATTAACTCATTCAAGCCTCACAACAATCCTAGGAAAGGATTAACCTTGCCCAAAGAAGAGCCTGACCCTTGCCCCTGTATCCTGGAAGGTAACCTCTCAAGCCCGTGGAATGTCCTTTCTGACAAGTGTCTTTGTTTACTTGAGGGCCTTGGGCTGCGCCAGATAGTTTATACTAACAGTGTGATTTATGGTGGGGCTTTGGGCCATGTGGTATCAGCTTCACCTCTGGAGGGACTAGAGACTAAGGTCAACCATGTGGGTGATCCACCATGTCTATGTGACCGACTCACAATAAAAACTCTGGACACCAACGATTGGGTGAGCTTCCCTGGTTGGCAATACTCCATGTATGTTGTCACACATCGTTTCTGGGAGAATTAAGCACTGTCCATATGACTCCACTGGGAGAGGACAACTGGAAGCTCATGCCTGGTCTCTCCTGGACTCTACTTTTTGACTTTGCTAATTTGTATCAGTATCATTTTGTTGTAATAAACCATAACCAAGAGTGTAATGACTTTTCTGAGTTTTCAGAGTCCTTTTAGTGAATCACTGAACCTGAGGGTGGTCTTGGGGACCTACCAAACTTGCAGGTAGATACTGTTTTATCCTCATTTTTACCCTCTTTAGGTACAGAGGTGTCTCGTTCAAGATCATGCAGCAGCACACAGAGCCTACTGTCCTAACCACTACACTCAGTGACTTGTTTTTGTTCCTAACTGGTTCTAAATTTTTGTTTCTTCAGAGAAAGATTATTCAGAACCTGGAAAATTGTTGAGGATGGAAAATTGCTCTCTGGGTCCTGTCCTCCAAACTCATCTCCCGAGTTTTCCAAAACCCATCTGATGTCATCACCTTGCTTCAGCTACAACCAGTATTACTCAGATTCAGAAATGTTATTATAGGAGAGATTTCATAAGCACGTGGATCTATTCTTCAGTCAACATGTTAGATTCATCTAATTACAATGTTGTGTTTGTTGTTAGTGGCCACTGAGCTGGCTTCAACTCATGGTGACTTTATGTGTGTAACAATGAATTAAATATGTTAGATGCCCAGAACACTGTTTGAGCTCAAACTTTGAGAGGAGCTTAGAGAAAACTGGACCTGGCACCATGTCAGCATGAATAGCTCTTGAGAAATGCCTTCATGTCCATGATAGTGTCTGACCCTCATCATATCATTTTCCTCTTCTTACAGACGAGCTACCTGAAGCTCTGGAACTCTCTAGAATGGGCGGAAACAAGCAGACTGCATCCTGAGCCGTGTGCGACAAAGACATCTCTCCTTACAAGCGTCACTGGCCAGTTGAGCAGAGAGGGCGACGGGAGAGGAGTCATGGAATCTGCGAGACAGGTGGGCATCCTGGGCAGGGCTCCAGTGTCAGGGTTACCTGATCTTCTGGATGCGACAGTCCTTCCCGCTCAGCACACTGCCCAGCAACTCCATCACGGGGTCCTGGAACTGGTTGGTGTCCAGCCTGCCCAAGAAGAACAGTGACATTGAGTGGTACCACCACCCATGGGCAGGGTGGGAGGAGGCCACTGGCAAAGGGACTGGCCCTGGTGTAGGGGAGGGGGCATTAATCCCAGGTCTTCAGACATCTGGGCCGGGAACCCTTTCCCTCTCTCTCCTCGCCATCCCATCCTTGTGACACAGAGATCTGTGCCCAGCACACCCCCAATGCTCCAGGTTTTCCTATGGAAGGCAAACTGGGAGGCTCAGAGGCTGTGAGTCCTGGGGTTCCTGCCCAGGGCTGTCTTCCACAAGCTGTCATCGCAGCAACCCCACATGCTGCGTGCACCTACGCGGCACTGTGCTTGCTCTCCTTCTGAGAACGTGTAGCTGCTCTCAGGTGCCAGGACCCTCGCCCTGCATCCTTCCCTCCCCCTTTGCTGAGGTCCTGAGCACTGGGTGGAGGATGGGCCTCTGGTGGAGTGGGAGGAGTCGAGGGCACAGCCTCAGTGGCACTGGGGTGGTCCAGGCTATGGAGGAGAAACTGTACCAGGCCCTTCTCTCTCCTCTGCCCACGTGACCCACGTGCCTCCCCCTGTTCCCACCTGAGGCTCTGGCAGTAGAGCAGCTGGGGCAGCAGGCTCTGGAGGATGGCCTGGCTGAGGCACAGGGACAGGTTGGCCTCCTGGGCATAGGCATCCGACACCTGCAGCAGGTAGGCCAGGGCAGCGGGGTGTGGGGGGCTGGTCAGCCTGGCCAGGCCCTCGCGCTCCATGGCCTCCTGCACGCTGCTGGCCAGCTCTGTGTGCTGCAGCTCGTGCAGGCAGCGCAGGACATTGACAGCCCGGGCGCTGACGGCAGCCTCGGGGGCCAGGCAGCCCTGCAGGAGCCTGGCCGCCTGCTCCCGGTAGCCCTGGTGCTCGCCCGGGGCCAGCAGGGAGCCCATCAGCAGGGTGTTGACCCTGGGGGACAGGAGGCCCGAGAGGAAGCGCAGGAACACGTCCAGCCTGCCGTCCTCGGCCTGCATGGCCCTCTGCACCGCACTCCGGAAGTGGGTGAGGAAGCCCAGCCGGGGCCAGGACACGCCGCTCTCTGTGAAGAGATCGAAGATGGCCCTCTTGGACGCACCGTAGTAATAGGCAGCTGCCACAAATTCCTGCAGGGACAGGTGGGAGAAGCAGTAGGCGGCCGCAGAGCCCAGTGTCTCCTCCCGCTGCAGGAAGCAGCCACTCAGGGCACTCTGCAGCAGGGCCAGGTCCACCCCGAAGGCCCTCAGGTCCTGCTCGTAAAACACGTACTTCTTCCTGACCAGCCCTTGGAAGGCCAGCCGGCCCAGCGTCCCCGCCATCCTGCGGCCCCCGTGGGCCACCTGCTCGATGCGTGGGCTCACCTTGCCCTTGTCCTGCCCCTCCCTGCTGAGTGCCATCCTGAAGTACCAGGAGTAGATCTCGCTCAGGGTTCTTGGGGGTGACAGCTCGGCATTCAGGGGCCCTCGCCTGTGGCGGTACAAGTGGCCCAGCGCTGACCCTGAAAGCCGGCAGAAGGCAGGGACGGTGCACATCAGGTAGAGAGCCCTGTCGGCCTGCACCTGGGCCAGGGCCCAGCCCGCGAGGCTCTGGTCTTCTGGGAACATCTGCTCCAAACACGTCTTGACCTCCTCCTCGTTAAAGCCCCGGATCTCTGTCATCCGATCCACTAGGCCCCCTGGGATCTGGCCAGCCGTGCTGGGGCGGGAGGTGACCCATACAGAAACTTCTGGAAAGAGGTTGCCCCGGATGATGTTGGTGATGAGGTTTTCCACCTGGACCTCCTTCTTGGGGTCTGTGCAGGCTGCGGTGTTGGAGAAATCCAGAGGCGTCTTACACTCGTCCAGGCCATCCAGAATCAAAAGGGCCCTGGCTGGGGCCACTGCTGCCAGGCTGGGCTCCCCAACGTGTGGGAAGGCAGAGCGGATGAGTCTCTCAGCCGACACCTTCTCATAGGTGTTGAGCTCCCGGAAGGTCAGCGGCAGCACCTGCGAGAAGTCCTTGGCGAGCTGCCCTTGGGCCCAGAGGTGGACAAAGTGCCTCACCAGGGTGGTCTTGCCCATGCCTGCCACCCCAACGGTGATGGAGACACGGGGCGGGATGGAAACCCGGGAGAGAGGCAGGAAGAGCCCGTCCAGGGCAATAGTCCTGGCGGTGCGCCCAGCCCCACGCGTGGCCTCCACCTGCGTGAAGTCATGTTCCCGCAGCTGCAGGTCCGTCAGGCCCTCCACCAGCAGGAGGCTGGCCAGCCTGGGCGGGGGCTCACCCAGCACCAGGTCGCCTCCCAGCCGGCTCAGCAGAACCTCCCGGTGCCGCTGGATCCTGTAGTCTGCGGGACAGAGAGGGGGTTAGGGAGAGCGGGGGTGACAGAGGAGGGGGAGAGGACCCGGATAGAGACCACCCAAGCCCATCTTACCATTGCCAGGGGGCTCTGGAGGGGGTTCCGGCGTCCTGTCGGGGGCCTGTGGGACCTGGGTCCCCTGAGTGCCCTTCCCCGCCAGCAGGTCCATGAAGGCTTTCACCTGCTCGGCCGGGGAGCTGCCACCGTGTCCCGGGCCGGCCTCCCCGCCCACCCGCACCTCCTGCTTCCGCATGTAGTCCGGGGCCTCCGCCAGGAGCTGTGGACAGAGGACCCGGCCCTGCCGCCTGCCCTGCCCCCGTCCAGGGCCTCTAGGGGTGCGCTAGGGAGCCCACCTTACTCCGTCCCAGCTTGAGGCCGCCCCCTGGTCTGGCCTCCAAGAAATACCCTCACCCTGCTGGCAAGGGCCCTTCCTTCCTGGGTGGTGAGCACAGCCGCATCCCAGGGGCACCGAGGCGCCGGAGCCACGTGGCTGCGAACCGGCCGGGGCTCGGCCACTCACCGGCCGCGTGACACCGGGCAGGCTGCTGAGGCTCTCTGCGCTGCGGCGTCCTCATCGGTGGCCTGGAGACGGCGATGCGGTTGGTAGAGGAGTCAGAGGCAGGGGAGCTGGTTCCCAAGCGCCTGTGCGGTGACTTCCTTGTCCAGTTGCCCTAGAGTCTCCTGGGAGGGGAGAGCCCCCCGATTTCTGCCGGGAGAGGGGATGCCGCGGTGCTGAGCGGTGGAGCCTGCGAGCCGGCCTGCGCACAGCCGCCGCCTCTCGCGGGCCTCGCGTCGGGTTCTTCCGGGGACTGGCCGCACCCCCGCCCGGCCTCCCACAGCCAGGGGGACGCTCAGGACCCCGAGTCCTGCGCCCGCTCCTCCTCTCCTCACCTGGCGGGCAGCGGGCAGGACGTCTGGTCACGGGAGCTGCCCCTCCGGCGGGGCTGGCCATCCCTCGCCCACGGTTCTAGAGAGAGAACACACCGCGCGGCCGTGCAGGGCCGTGGGCACGCCTGCCGATGGCTCGACGCCCCTCCTTGGGGGATTGGGGCTGCCCGGCATCCCGAGGCCGCCTGCCCACCAGCCCCGTCCTTCTCCACGAGTGCAGGGTCCTGAGCTGAGGTTCGTAAGGTTGGAGAGCGGGCAGGGCAGTCTCTCCCCTTCTAAAGACCAAAATAGAACACGCCCCCCCATCCTCCACGTTCCCCTACAGCCATGGCCAAACAGCTCCTGGCCCTGCTCCCCCGGTCCGCTCTCCACCCCAGCCTCCCCAGGCTCCCCAGGCTCCCCCGGCTCCCCCCGGACCTCGCCTGTTCAAACCCAGTACAGCCAATTACACTGCTCTTTCAAAATCCCATTAGCAGAGTTTATACTAACGGGGGAGGAACAATTCGGAAAAGGAGGGTGAGAATGGTTGTACTACTTGAATTAATCAATGTCTGTGAATTGTACATGTAGAAAGGGTTGAACGAGTGTGTGTTCTGTATATATTCTCAACAACAAAAAATAAAATAAATTTTAAAAAATCCTATTGGCAGAAACAACAGAGATAGTATGGTAAGACAATGTGAAGTGTGTAACCAGTATCACGGGACTTTTCATACAGAAACTGGGAATGCATGTATTTTTGGTTGTGTATATTGCCACCAAAAAGAAAAGAAATAACTTTATGGATCACACACAGTTCTATTGGCAATTCTCACTCATTTATTCTTCTAAATGTCAAAACCCAGGAAAAAGCAGGTGGGATTTTGATTGCGGTCGCATTACATACGTGAGATAATGTGGCCATTACTGAAGTCTTCCTTTAGGTCCTTTGTTGTTAGGTGCCATCGAGTCGGTTCTGACCCACAGCAACCCTGTGTACAACAGAACGAAACACTGCCCAGGCCTGCTCCATCCTCACAATCGTTGCTGTGTTTGAGCTCATTGTTGCAGCCACTGTGTCCATCCATCTCGGTGACGGTCTTCTTTTTTGCTGACCCTCTACTTTACCAAGCATAATGTCCTTCTCCAGGGACTGAGCCCTCCTAATAACGTGTCCAAAGTACGTGGGACGAATGAAGTCTTGCCATCCTTGCTTCTAAGGAGCTTTCTGGCTGTACTTCTTCCAAGACAGATTTATTCATTCTCTGGTAGTCTGTGATATTTTCAGTATTCTTCGCCAACACCGTAACTCAAAGGCACCAATTCTTCTTCTAGCCCTTTAGTAAAGCTTTGTGTTTTTCTCAAATAGATCTGGCCAGTTTCTCATTGGTGTATAGGTATTTTTAAATAGCAGCCCTGGTGGCACAGCAGTTAAGAGCTAAGGCTGCTCACCAAAAGGTCAGCAGTTCAAATCCACCAACTGCTCCTTGGAAACCCTATGGGGCAGTTCTAAGGTGCCCTGCAGGGTCACTATGAGTTGGAATCAATTCAATGGCAACAGGTCTAGTTTTATTTTCAAGTGGTTTTTGTTATTATGAATATTGTTGATATAAAAGAAAAGTATGAATCTTGGTATATTTAACTTCTGGCTCATCAACTTAAGTGCTGTATCAGTTCTAATAGTTTTTTAGTTAATTCTTTCCAGTTTTTTTTCATATTACTGCAAATAAGGATCATTTTATCTCTTCCTTTCTAAAGCTGTAACGCTATGTGAAGAGTTTTATGACGTTAGCCAGATCCCAAGCAATGCCGCCTCACAGCAGTGGTGGAGAACGTCCTCGTCTTACTCCGACTGTTCAGGACAATGGCTCGCCCACACCAGATTTGTGACATGTTTCCCATTAGCACTCTTCTCTGCTGGGGAAGCTTCCTTCGACCCCTCATTTCCTATTACCACTCGAATAACATTATGTTATGTTTATTGAATGCTTACTGTGTTCCCAGACATTCAGTTAAGTGCTGTATTTACTTTATTTGTTTACTTCCCATAACGACTCACATTATGATTATTTTTCCCATTTTATAGATGAGGATACTGAGGCTCAGAGAGGTTAAATGACTTGCCCAAGGACACACAGCTGGGAAGGGACTGACTTGGGATCCAAACCAAGGCCTTGCTGACACCAACGCTCGCACTCTCTACGGTACTGCCTCTCGTAGGACGTTTACAGATTTTTTAAGAGCACTTGACTTTTTAGCATATTTTGAGGTAGATAGATGACTTATTCCCATGTATTCATTCATAGAGCGGTATTTATTGAGGGCTTGTTATGTGTTCTAGGCACTGGGGTACGGAGGTGAATGCGTTAGACTAAGTCCCTACCCTGTGAGTGCGGTGAAGAGGGAGGTGACAGTGACAATACCAAGGGAAAGATAAATAATCAAGGCAAGTTCTGACGGTGATTAGTGCTGTGAAAGGAGCCCTGGTAGCACAACAGTTAAGCGCTCAGCTGCTAACTGAATGGCTCCACAGGAGAAAGACCTGGCAATCTTCTTCCGTAAAGATTAGAAAACAAATACCCAAACCCGCTGTCGTCCACTTGGTTCCGACTCATCGCGACCTTATAGGACAGAGCAGAACTGCCCCATAGGGTTTCCAAGGAGCAGCTGGTGGATTCAAACTGTCTACCTTTTGGTTAGCAGCCAGACTCTTAAGCACTGTGCTACCAGGGCTCCCCCATAAAGACTATAGCTAGGAAGCCCTATGGGGCAGCCCTACTGTGTCACACGAGGTCATTGTGAGTCGGAATCGACGAGAGGGCAGCTGACAACAACAGCATATAAAACAGGATGGACTAGCACACGGAGAGATACCTAAGTCAATAGAACAGAATATCGAACGCAGAAACAAATATATATTTATATTTACATATAAAGGAGTTTGATAATGTGACAAAAATAGTATTTCAAATCAGTGGAAATGGTGTTGGAGTAATTGGCCAGCCTATTAAAAAAAATATTTTTGAGCTTTACTTCACATTGAGCACCAAATTGAATTTCAGCTAGATTAAAAGTTAAAATTATAAATGCAAAACCATAAAGGCATAATAAGAAAATGTGAGAGAATATTTTTAAATCTTTCAGTAAGGAAGTCTTTCTTAAGCAAGACATAAAACCCAGAAGTCATAAAGGGACACATTAGCAGATTTGACTTCATCTGAATTTAGTATTTTTGAATAATAAAAGATGTCATAAATACAGTTGAAAGAAAAGCCATAAGCCGGGAATCAAAATTTGACACATATATGAAAGCACATTAATATCCTTAATATATAAAGTTTTCTTAGAAACCATTAAGAAATAGATAACCACATAGAATTATGGACAAAGGACAAAAACAGATAATTCATAGAAGAAATACAAATGACCAAAATAATTGAAAAGATGCTCAATCTCACTAACGATTGAGAAAAAACAAAATAATGAGCTATCATTTTTCATCTGTGTAATTGACAAAGATTACAAAGACATCCAAGGGTGCATCGGTGAGAATGTGGGGGAAGTAGGAATCTTAACACATAGTTGGTGGGAGTGTAATTGGTACAGTGATTCTGGATGATTTTCCTTTGTCTATTGTCATTAATTATCTCTTGACCCAGAAATTCCACTTCTGGGAATTTATCCCAAAGAAATAATTGAACAAGTGCACAAAAATATGGCTACAAGGGTCATCACGGAAACACTGTTTATAACAACAAGAAATTGAAGAAAAAAAACTTCTATCCAAAGGGGAGCTGCTAAAATCAATTATGATCCAGTTATATAATAGAATACTATGTGGCCATTAAAAATAATAAGGTAGATGTGTATGTCAAACCGGAAGAAATGTCCACAGTGTATTTTTGATCTCTTAATGTCATAAATGTTTCGATCACCTTCTTAGAGGTATAATTCACATATAATAAAATGCACCAGTTTCAGCGTATGGTCAGATGAGGTTTGACAAACGCAGACACCTATGTAACAACCATCACCATCAAGATAGTGAACATTTCTTCTCCAGAAAGCGTTCCCTCATGCCTCTTCAGTCTATCCTGACTGAAATGACAAAAAAAAAAAGAACCAATGTCCATCAACAGTAGAATGGGAAATTTTTTTTTTTTTTTGGTATTTTCGTATAATGAAATACTACGTAGCAATGAAAAAGAATAAGCTACTGGCATCGTCAGCAATATGGATGAATCTGCTCGCGCCAGCATGATACTGAGTGAAAGAAGTGTCACCCGAAAGAGAACATATCTGATGATTCCATTTATAAGAATTTCAAAGTCAGGCCAAACCAATGTGAAATAATAGAAATCAGAACAGTCGTTACTCCAGGGGTGGTCTGACTGGGAAAGGGCATGACGGAGCCTTCTAGGGTGCTGGACATTTCTATATATTGATCTGAGTGGTGGTTACACAGGTGTATACGTACATAAAAGTCCACTGAGCTCACTCTGCTCTAGGTAAGTCATACCTCAGTCTTTAAAAGTTCGGCCAGTGTAGCCACTGTGGAAAACAGTTCGGTGGTTCCTCAAAAAAGTTAGAATTATCATGTTGTTGTTGCTGGCTGCTGCTGAGTAGATTCGGACTCAGTGACCCCACGTGACAGAGCAGAACTGCCCCGTAGAGTTTCCTAGGCTGTAATCTTTCCGAGAGCAGATTGCCAGGTCTTTTCTGCTGTGGAGCCACTGGTGGGTTCGAACCGCCGACTGTTTGGTTAGCGGCTGATCTCTTCACCATTGTGCCACCAGGGCTCCTTAGAATTAGCATATGCCCCAGCAATTCCACTCCTAGGTATATATCCCCAAGACTTGAAAGCGGGGACACAAACAGAAACGTGTTCACTGCAGCACAATTCACAATACCCAAACGGTGGAAACAACACAAGTGTCCATCAACAGATGAATGGATAAACGAAATGTGGTGCAGTCATACAATGGAATCTTATTCGGTCCTAAAGAGAAGTGAAGCTCTGATACACGCTACAGCCTGGATGAACCTTGAAAACACAAAGCTGAGCGAAATAAGTCAGACACTAAAGGACAAACACTGTCTGATTCCATTGATGTGGAATATCTAGAACAGGCAAATGCATAGAGACCAAAGTGTTATCAGTGGTTCCAGGGCCAGGTGGGAGGGCGAAGGGGAGGCATTGCTTAAGGGACACTGAGTTTATCAGAGGGATAAAAGAAAATTTGGAAATGGATACTGGTGATGCTTGCACAACATAAGGGATATAATTAACGTCACTGAATTGTACACAGGAAAAATGTTGGAATGGAAAATGGTTTGTTGTTTTTCCACGATAACAAAAAAAGTTAGGCTGGCAACTCTCTAGAAACTCACATGGTGTAAAACCACACGAAGCCCTGCTACCGCCAGTCGGCTAGAGCAGGAGGCTGGGACCCTGGGTGGGCCGTCCTCGGACTGCGAGCTGCAGGGCACAGCCTCATGGTGGACACCTGCTGTTGGCTGTCCAAGTGCACCCTCCGGGTGACTAATCTGCCACAGCTGGGGATGGAGTGGTGGCAGGGCGCACGAGGAGACCAGGCTGGAGAAAGGCAGGCTCAGGGCTTCTCGGCTCTGGGGGACGTTATGCGGGCACTGTCTTTACCAAACCGCTGCTCAGGGCCCTGCTGCCTGGAGATGGTGATATACTTGGTCTGGGGCGGGGCCCCAATGTGGATGGATTTTATTTATTTATTTTTTTTGGTGACACATATACACAGCGAAACACACATCAATTCAATAATTTCTACATGTATAATTCATGCCCTTTTCTGAATTGTTTGACCATCAATACTGACTCACTGGCCTCTAAGCTTCTCGTCTAACCTGTTGAGTTGCTGTTATCAGTTTGATGTCCTGTAGATAGTTCTTTAAAAGAGCACATTGCTCACGGCGGGCGTTCTTCAACTCAACTACCGTTTGGTTTAACGATGACTCCAGAGGATGGTTTTAGTTTAACGTTTACATTTACTCAAGGCAATAGTTTTGGGGGGTCATCCAGCCTCCAGGGCTCCAGAGAGCCTGAATTCCATGAGAATTTGAACTTCTGTTCCACATTTCCACCCCCCCCTTTTGATCAGGATTCTTCTATAGAATCAATATGTATTGATTTTAAAGCTCCCTAGTGATTCTAATGAACAGCTGGAGTTGAGAACCACTGTACCACGAAGAGGTCAAGAGGAACCAAGGAAAGACAAGCACAGGTGAGGTGAGGGGACGAGGAAGATGGGCGCTCCCCCGAGCGTCCCTGCCTCTGTGGCCCCATTAGTCCTTTCATGTTGGGGTCAACACTCCAAGATCAGATGCCCATATTTCTTCTCCCACTGACCTTAGGCCTAAGGTTGCCAGATTTAGCCAATTAAAATACAGCACGTGGGACTAAATTTGAATTTCAGACAAGCAACAAATTTTTTTTTTTTTTTAGTATAAGTATATCCCATATAACTTCTGGGACATACTTTCCCCAAAAAAAAAAGTTTATCTGCAAGTCTAGTTTAACTGCGTGTCCTGTATTTATCGGGCACCCCTATTCAGTCCCACTCAGACAAAAGCCCCCTCCAACCCGGCTTTCACCTGCGGACACCTCCCAACAAGGACAGAGGAGACCCCCAGGCAGACCAGGGTCCACCCCATGACGGCGACCTCCCAGGGCCAGGACAGAATGGAGTAGCCCCAGATGCTGATGAGGCAGCAGGAGGGGGGGTCTCCCCAGCGGGGACCAGTTTCCTGCCACCTCCGTGGACAGGCCTACGTGCAGCCCCAGACACCTCCCCTGTAGGCTAGAACCTGCCGCAGACCAGTGAGTGGGGTGAGGCCGGCAGCAGAGCAGATAGCCTGCAGTGAGAACGGTGGCGCCCTGTGCACCCAGCTGACAGAGAGGAAGACAGGCCAGCGGCCACGGGTCAGTCGCAGAGGGTCTGAGCTGTAGCGGACAGGCCAGGGCCAGAAGGGACTGTGGGGGAGCCGCCACTTCCCTAGAAGCCTGCCATCCCAGGTGTCCTCAGGGCCCGGCTCCAGGTAGGGCTTACCCACCTCAGTGTGACCTCGGAGCTGTCTCTTGGGGAAGGTGGATCTAAGCGCCTGTGCTGCCTGGTGGAGTGTGGCTTGGCCCCCGTACCCCAAGCTCATAACCAGGCTCCGCCTCAGCTCTAGGAAGGTCCCGATTGGTCTGTTTTTCCTGCCAGCAGGTCCCCTTTCTGGTCTTCCCCTGCCCTTGCCGGGGCCTCAGTCCAGCCTCAGCTTTGGCCAGCCAGGGGGATGGGGGGTGGGGGGTGCTCCTGCTTGGCCTTTTCTAGAAGGGCTGGCCGTGCTCGGCCTACCTGCTGTGTGGTGATGGTGTGGGGCCTCCAGCCCTGACTGCCCGCCTGGGGCTGCCCGGCTTCCAGGACTCCTGCCCACCCACCCTTCCCAGGGCCGGGAATGAAGTCTTAGCCCCGGTGTGTGGCCCCAGCACCGCGGCCAGCTGACCACCTGTCCACCTGAGATCAAACGACCTTCCTGGAGGAAGGAGGAAGTAGTGCCTGCCCCTCGAGCTGCCCCCCTGCCACTGCACTGACCCCCGGCTTCAAGCAGGGACAGAGGAGGGTGGCGCCCAGCTGCAGGCCTGCCTGGGTGATGGCCAGGGGTGGGCCCGGGTTTGTGGGAGGGGCCAGGAGAACCTGGGTTCCCCAGCTCCCCAAGAGCTCCCCAGCCAAGCTCACCCCAGGAGTCATGGGAAAGGAACACCCAGCCCAGCCCAGCTCAGTGGCACCTCTCCCGAGAAGCCTTCCTTGGTTGTGGCTCTCAGAATGAATGTCCACCCGCTGCCCTTCCTCAGGGAGGGTGCAGCCTCTATCCGACAGTGTGGTCAGGGAGCCACTGGGGGCTGCACACCCAGCAGCAAGGAGTAGGTACTGTGTCCCCCTTAATCCTCATGACCTGTGACCCCTGACCTCCATCTTACAGGTGGGGCAGCTGAAGCACAGAGAGGTCAGGTCACCTGCTCGGAGCCCCACAGCCCGGAAGGGTGGTGTCAGAACAGGCCCCGGTCTGCTAAGCCAGAGTCTAACCACTGGGCGGGACTGCTCCTCCAGTTACATTCCTGGCCCCGGGGAGCTGGGTCTGTCTGCTGGGCCAGGGCTCACAGTACCTGTCCCTGGGCTGTCCTTGGGCACCTGTTTGTTTATTCCACACCGGGAGTTCATGCTGCCCCACGGCTCCCAGCGCCGGGGAGTCTGGTGGAGTCTCCCCAGGCGCCTTGCCCTTCAGCCATCTCCCCACCCCCAGCATGGCTCTGGCCTTAACAGTCACTGTCCTTCCTGACCACCATGCTCTCTCCCTCCCCTGCCTCGCACAGAGGCAGCCAGGACTTAACTTACCTCCCGGGCCTCGAGGCTGCTCTAGGGATGTCCAGGGCAGGGGTCCGGGTGGAGCTGCATCCTGCGCTCTTGGCTCAGACCCGCTCCTTGAGAGATAGTGGGCAGTGGTGGGGACGCCTGGGTCTCTGCAAGCCAGCCGGGCCCGTCCTGGGTCTGTTCAGTGCCGGCGTGCAGCCTGGTCCAGGGGATCGGCAACACCACGCTGACCCTGTGGGCCCACGGGTGATGCAGCACTGGCTCCCGTCCCCACGGCCACCCGTGGCCGCTGCAGCTTGGCGCGCACCTCTTCCTGTGCAGGGCCACCTCCACCTTCCTTCCTGTCTGATTTCAAAAGCCAACAGCCTCGCGACAAATCAGTGAGCCGGGGCTGCCGCCAGTCAGGGGACAGGGACTGACGTTGGGGTCTTGGTTCCGGGAACTGCGGAGACCTGCCACTCGGGAGAGAGGGTGGTGGGCTGCAGTTCATCGTCAGATGGCAGCTCCAACGCTGTCAATAGCCCGCCCCCACCAACCTGCCGAAAAGGACAGTCCTCGCCATCAGGGATGATGGTTTGCTTTTAGGTGGGTGGCTGGGATCCAAGTGAGCTTCAGGGTCCTGGGGTGACATGCCGCCACCCCTTATTTTCTTCCCTCCCCTCTCACTTTCCTTTATCGCCACCAGGCACCCCGACTCTGCCGAGCCCCACAATCAGTCTTCTGTGAGTAAAGGGCCCCCCAAAGCAGGCCCTTGGCAGGTGGTCCACATGACAGAGAAGGGGTGACAGGGACAGACAGGGTCAGAGTGGGCAACGTGAGAAAATCTGCAACAGAGGACAAGGACGGCATCTGCAGGTGACAGGGAGCAGGCCACTCAATATGGGGCCCTCGGTCTGCCAAGGAGGGCAGGTGACAAGTGGAGGTGATGGAGGCCGTGGGCCTGCATTTTCTTCAGCCAGCAAGGGGGAGCCACAGATGGTTGTAGAGCAGGAGAGCACAGGTTCAGCCAAGTGCATGTGAGAGGAGGTGGAGGGGTGTGCGAGGCCACGTGTAGTGGGGGTGGCAGGCCAAGGCGCAGGCTCCTCACGACCTCCCCTGCCTCCCTGCCTCCTGGCATTGCTTTCTGAGCCCCCAGGAGCGACACACGGTGGCTGCCCGCAAGGCTCCTGGCAGGCAGAGCACAGACCCAGGGCTGCAGCCTTGGTGGCTGGGACCCGGCCGCCCACAGGATGCTGGAAACCACAGGGCCTGTGGGCGTCTGTCACCAGAAGAGGCCAATGAGGCCTGCTCTGCCCTGCCGCCACAGCTCACAGGGACAGGGTGGGGGGGAGGGGGTTCTCCATGGGGCTCTCGGGACACCCCAGATTTCGCATCCCTCAACCTCCCCACCAGAAACGTTCAACAGCCCAGACAGGGCCGGGTCAGTGGCCTTGCTCTGCCAGCTCCCGGGCTCTGCTGGGGTGGGTGGGTGGGTGGGTGTGTGTGTGTGTGTGTGTGTGTGTCTCCTGGGTGTGTGTGTGTGTGTGTGTGTGTGTGTGTGTGTGTGTGTGTGTGTGTGTGTGTATGTGGGGTGTCCCAAGACACCCAGAGCCAGAGTTGGGGATAGGCAGTGGCCCAGCCCTTCTGAGCCCAGCAACACCTGAGGCTTCCTGCCTCAGGGTGGGGTCTTCCGGGCTGGAACAGGCCTCTACAGCTTGCCTGGCCCCCAGTGCTGCTCCCTGCCCAGCTGGACTGGGGCTCTCCTCCCATAGCTTTGAGTGACAATGGCCGAGCCATGCCCTGGGCCCAAAAGAAGTGGGACAGGCTGGGAGGTGGCGTCACAGCGAAGCCCAGACACCACACTGTTCTTGCTGATCCAGCTGTAACCAGCGACGTTCGGCTGCTGCGGCCCAGCACGCTCTCCTCTTGTGACATCCCCGTCCCAGGCAGGGCTCGGGCTCTGGAAGGGGACACCTCCCACCGCCCTCCCCACGAGCTTCTGGTGGGCCGTGGCCGCCGGGCTCCTCCCACCGTCACAGCAGGTGCTGAGAGAAGGCAGCTCCAAACCACCCTTTCCCTTCTTGACCAATTAGCTGGACCTAGCTTTGTCGCCCTGGTCAGGTTCTTTCCTGGAAACCCCCCAGTTCTCTGAGTGTGGCGGTTTCTTCACTGCAGAGCCTCCTCCTCAGCCCCTTCCCCTCGTGGAGTGTTGTAGGAAAAGGGCCTGCCGGCCTGCACGCAGGTTCAGGGTGCAGCCAGGGCAGAGCTCTGAATTTGGCATCCGGCTTTTCAGCTCTACGTCATCTTCCCCAGACTCCTACCCCAGCATTTCTCTGTCAGCCTAGAGCACCCCCCGCACTGTGAGTCTCCGTCCTCCCCCGGAAGTGAGGCCACAGAAGCTTCAAGGTGAGTCGGGGCTTCTACCCCGAGCCGGGGGAAGTCAGACAAGGTCGGCTCCTCTGCCTCCTAGCTACCGCTCAGTAAGAAACCTGTTTCCTTTCAAATGTGCCAGGAACCCTCTTGTTTGATACACACGGCGCCTTGCCCTCATTGCCCCTGGGCAGCGGATGCCCACGGCAGGGCTGAGGTCTCTCCACCTTGCACGCAGTACAAATTTAAGAAATCCCATTCCACCCCCCTCACTCCTGCGGGGAAGTCAGTCGCTGGGTGGTGCAAACGGTTAACGCACTTGGCTGCTAACTGAAAGGTTGGCTGTTCGAGTTCACCCAGAAGCACCCAGGAAGAAAGGCCTGACAATTTACTTCCAAAAAATCAGCCACTGAAAACCCTGTGGAGTGCAGTTCTACTCTGACGCACACGGAGTCGCCATGAGTCAGGTCAACTCAATGCCAACTAATAAAAACCCCCACCCACCTTGAGTCCCAGCGTACAAGCCCCTCTTCCAGGAAGCTGTCCCTGATTTCTGCCCTTCCAGCTGCCCGACCGCTGACCCTCACTGGCCCTCCCACCCAGTGTGGTCCAGGCCGGGGTGTCTCTTCTACCCGACTGGAAGCCCCCCGAGAGCAGGGCTTGCTTTCAACCTCTCTCCACATCCCCCAGACCAGCACACGGGCCAGGCCAGTGCTTCGGAAACTCCACTCGCCTGGGGTCCTGTCAAAATGGATCCTGGCTCAGTGAGTCTGCGTCTGCCTTTGTGACGAGCCCCCGCAGGGCCAATGCTGCTGTCTGGGGCCACAGTGAGCTGCAAGGGCTGAGCTCAGCCCGGGAGGCCCCGTTAGGTGTGGGTGCACATACGGACGGCCGCGCAGACAGAGGCCAGAGGAGACAGTGGGCACATGCCTGTTACCTAAGAGCCAGAAGTAAAAGTGGGGCCCGCAGGCCCGTGTCACCCCGAGAAGAGAGCAGTGCAAGGCCGCACCTTCTGCGGATGTCAGTGTGGGGGCCACAGGCCCGTGCTGCCCTGAGAAAAGAGCGGATGTCAGCGTGGCGGCCACAGAGTCTCACAGGCTTCTAGACACAAGGGCTATCATGTTACTCTTCTGGAGCAGGGGAGCATCCGGATGATTTTTACAAAGCCTTTTTATTGCACTTCCTACAAAACTGACCACACTACATCTACAGCACACAAGGACAACATCACGAGGGAAGAAAGCCCAGCACCTGTGCTCAGCGCTGCGCCCGAGCGGGACGCTCTAACGAGAACCAGTTAGCAAAGACTCCAGCCATGCCGGGCCCTTCCGCACCGTCCCGTGTGGAGACTGCTGGTGACAGGACAGTAGCCGGGTAGGACAGTCGGGCCCCGGGAGCCTTGGCGGCTGGGATTACGGTCCGAGTGCTGAGAAGAAGGACAGCCAGGCCCACGTGGCTGGGGCAGGATGAGCCTGGATGTGGCTCTCAGGACGTGGGCACACGCAGCAGGCGGGGCTGTGGGGCTTCTGAGACACACAGGGGCCGCTGGTTAAAGGGAAACGGGCTGCGGGCACCCACAGAGGGAGGGGCCAGTGGGCAACATGCTTGGAACACCACATCAGGGAGCGGGGTCCGCGGAGGGGCTGTCGTCACTGTCGTGGAGAGAGCCGGCGTGGTCCCACGGGGGCCTGACTCACACCGGGATCCTGGGTGCCCAGCAGGTGGCCACAAACCCCGGGGAGCTGCACCGAGTGTGGGGCGGGTGGGAGACGACCCCCGTCAATCCTGCCCCTTCTTCTTGCCCACGGGCCGCCATCTCTTCCTCTTGAGCTGCTCCTTCCTGGTGGCAGCGGTGGTGAAGGTGATGCAGTGGGTGTCCAGGAAGTCCAGCAGCTTCCCCGCGGCCACACGGATGCCGTTCTGCCTCAGCTCCGCCTGCAGCTCCGCCAGCTCCAAGGGCTGGTACAGCAGGACCTTCCGGTACAGGGCAGGCCGGGAGTGGATGTAGCGCCACACTGCCTCCTCCGTATCTGCTGCCCGGACGGCCGCCTGCGAGGCGGTGACCCCTTCCTCGCCCTCCTCGTCACCTTCAGACTCAAAGGCCGCTCCAAACTCGTGGGAGGAAGAGCTGACAAGAACAAGACGACAGCAATTTGCAAAACCTTGTCTCGCCCACCCCCAGCCCCCACCCCGCAACCAGGAGCCTGCTGAGGGCAGTAGAGTGTCCGCTGTGGCACCTGGAGTGTGGTGGGGATGACCCCCCAGGGCGGCAGGAAGCTCCTGACAGCGCTGCCCGTGGAGTTGGCTGTATTTCCCCGGCCGTCTAGCTGGGTCAGCTGGGCAGGGTCCCGCCCACACCCTTCACGTCAGTCACGCCAATCAGCCGGTCTCCACGGGCAACCAGAGGACACCATGAAGGAAAGCCAGGCAGGCCCCACTCAAGGGGGCGGGCCGAGCTTCTTTCAGGCCGAGGGGGTCCAAAGGCCTGCTTGAGAGGCCTGGGGAAACCACCTGCCTGCGTCTCCTGTGGTTTCAAACCCAGAAGGCAGTTGGCATTTCTGAACCACAGCCATTGGCCTCGCTTAGTCTAGCTCTCTGCCCTGCCCATCAGCGCAGCTGCGAGGCTCCCGACCCCATTACTCCCATCCGGTTACCTCTGTGAGCCAAACGACCCGTCGGTGCTATCCACAGAGGTGGCCGTGGACTCCTGGGAGGCCGGGAGCTGGGCATCACCATCAGAGCCTGGGGGTTCCTCCTCGGCTGGTGGCATGGGCAGGGGTGGGGGGCTTTTCCCAGGCTGCTTCCTTCTACGTTGGGGGCTCTTGATCTCAGTGGGTCCCTTAGGCCTTTGCGGAATGGGGCCAGTGGCGGCCTCCGGGGAGGGGTGGCCTCCTGCCCCTGAAGTCTTGGAGGCCTGGGCGGCATGGGCCAGGCTCTGGGGCACGTGCAGGGGCACCTGCGAGGCCGGGATCTCATCCTCAGAGTCCGACTCCAGGGTCTGGTGAGTGTGCTGGAATATCTCCTTCAGCTTCAGGACCATCCGGCGTCGGGGCAGAGGGCGGACTCCGAACCTAAATGGGGAAGCAAGTGAACGCCAGCGCTCGGCCACGCGCCTCTGTGTGCGCTCCGTGCCGTTCCCACGGATCAGTGAGGAGCGAACAAGTCTCAGCTGATCCAGTTAACGGGTCGGCGCCTGGTGTTGCGTGTCTGGTTTTCACGAGTGCTCAACGGCTAGCGTCTCTCCTGCGTGCCCGCTGAGCTTACTGTGAAGACTGTTCCAAAAGGGACATTCCCACAGCCCTCTGAGCAACGGCGGTAGCCCTAGAATAGTCGAACATGGCTTCCCACGGTCCCAAGTTGACGACCAGCGTTCATTTGGATGGGATAGTTTTGATGTCGTTTTTAAAAGTCAGGTCTCCTTACTAGAATGTTATGGTGAGGATCCCTCTCCATGACCATGAGCGAGGAGGCCTGCTACCTGGGGAGCAGCCTGGGGAGTCTCATCTGTTAGCTTCTCAGGCCTACGTACTTTGGGGACCAACATGTGGAGCTAGCGTGGAAGCCCAGGCAGCTCCCCCGACTCCCCAGGAGCCATGCACACCGCCTCCCTCCCAGCAGCCCCCACCACCCGAGCAGGCTGGACAGCCTTCCTTGGAAGCCCAGGGCAGTCATGTCCACCAGGAAAAGCAGGCTGGGCGTGACCCCGTAAGACCCAGGTGGTGGGACCCCTCTGCTGCCAGCTCCCTGCTTCGGTGAGCCTGGTTAGACACAGCAGGGAAATGGCCGCTATTAGCAGACTTTCAAGAACCACACTGAGTCTCGGGGGACATCTAGCTCAATCGGCATGACAAAATTTATAAAATGTTCTACATCCTACTTTGGTAAGTGGCATCTGGGGTCTTAAAAGCTAGTGAGTGGCCATCTAAGATACTCCACTGACCCACCCTGTCTGGAGCAAGGGAGAATGAAGAAAACCAAAGACACAAGGGAAAGATTAGTCCAAAGGACTAATGGACCACAACTACCACGGCCTCCACCAGACCGAGTCCAACACAACTAGATGGTGCCCAGCTACCACCACTGACTGCTCTGACAGGGATCACAACAGAGGGTCCCGGACAGAGCGAGAGAAAAATGTAAAACAAAATTCTAACTCACAAAAAAAAGACCAGACTTACTGGTCTGACAGAGACTGGAGAAACCCCAGGAGTATGGCCCCTGGACACCCTTTTAACTCAGTACTAAAGTCACTCCCGACATTTTACCGTTCAGCCAAAGGTTAGACAGGCCCATAAAACAAAATGAAACTAAATGGGCATAGCAACCCAAAGGCAAGGACAAGGAGGCAGGAGGGGACAGGAAAGTTGGCAATGAGGAACCCAAGGTTGAGAAGGGGAGAGTGTTTACACATCTTGGGGTTGGCAACCAATGTCACAAAACAATATGTGTATTGTTTAATGGGAAACTAATTTGTAAACCTTCATCTAAAGCATAATAAAAGAAAGGAAAACAAGTAAACAAAAAGAACCACACTGACCTATCCAGCTCTTTCTTCAGTACTGGTGTCTCCATAATGGAGTACCTTGGCATTGGGGTTATGGGCACTTTCGGGGGCAGGTTCTTCTTCTGATGAGCACCTTCTGGGTAGAACAAAAGAAACACATGGTTCAGCATGAGGGGCCTGGAGTTTCCACTGGTGACACCTGCCTGGGTCACCAAGAGAGATCTTTCACTTGAAGACCGCTGACCGCCATTTTGCTCCATGAAAGCAGTGACATCCACCCCATCACTGTTTGACTTTGGAATCACTGGGAAGTATTATATGGCACATGATGAGGGCCACAGCCATGTGCACACGGACGCTGTGTGAACGGTGCTCCTGGGGCCCTTCAGCCCAGCACGTGACTAGGTCTTGTGTAAATAAAAATGGTTTGATACAGTGACAACTTGAGACAGTGGGCAACACTGACACCTTTCAAGCAGGCTGAGAACTCAGCAATTTTTTACATCTCAGCAATGAAAAAACAACCCAATTGGGAAATGGGCAAAGGACCTGAACAGACATTTCTCCAAAGAAGATATAAAAATGGCCAATATGCACATGAAAAGATACTCCACATCGTTAGCCATCAGGGAAAAGCAGATCAAAACCACAGTGAGACACCACTTCACACCCACTAAGCCAAGAACTAAACGTGTTGCTGTTGACCCCGACCCGTGGTGACCCCATATCACAGAGTGGAACTGCCCCGTGGGGTAGCCAAGGCTGTCAGCTTGGCAGAAGCAGATCCCGGGTCTTTCTCTCTTGGAGCTGCTGGTGGGTTTGAACCACCGACCTTTCGGTTTGCAGGTGAGTGTTTTAAGCATTGTGTCACCAGGGCTCCCAACAGAACTGCCCTGCAGCGTCTCCTAGGCTCTAAAGCTTTATGGGGGCAGGTCACCAGGTCTCTTCTCCCATGGGGCCGATGGTAAGTTTGAACTGCCAACCTTTTGGTTAGCAGCCAAGCGCTTAACCATTGTGGCAGCAGGGCTCCTCTGACACCCACTAGGATGGCTATTATAAAAAAAAGAAACGGAAAATTACAAGTGCTGGCGAGGATGTGGAGACATTGAAACCCTCTTCCAGTAATGGTGGGAATGTAAAATGGCGCAGCCGCTGTGGAAAAAATGGTGCAGCTGTTTGGCGGTTCCACAGAAAGGGAAACCCAGAACTACCACATGGCCCAGCAATCTCACCCTAGGTATGTACCTGAGAAATGAAAACATACATCCACATAAAAACTTGTTTTTTAGCATAGTGGCGTTATTCTTAATAGCCAGGAAGTGCAAACCAGCGCGTCCATCAGCAGATGAAGGGATGAGCGGAGTGTGGTCTGTCGTACAGTGGGGTATTATTCAGCCATAAAAAGGAGTGAAGTTCTGATATATGCTACAAAGCGGATGAACCCTGGAAACATTTTCCTAAGTGAAAGAAGCTTGTCACAAAAGGCCTCATATTGTATGATTCCATTTATGTAAAATCTCTAGAACAGGCAAATCCAGAGACAGAAAGTTGATTGCCAGGGGTTGTGGGGAGGGAGGAGATGGGGAGTGACTACTTAGTGGTACAAGGTCTCTTTCTGGGGTGATAAAAATGTTCTGGAATTAGACAGTAGTAATGTTTGCACAACATAATGAATATTCCTAAAGACACTGAATTGTATACTTTAAAGAGGTAAACTGTACAGTATGTGAATTATACTTCAGGAAAGCTATTATTTTTTTTAAAAAATAAGTCAGCATTTTAAAGACAAATGGACGATTTAGGAATTGGTCCTTAACCTTTTTAGGGCCATGGAGCCTAGTGAGACTCTGATAAAAGCCATAACTCTGTCTCTGGAAGAATCTCACTTGTCACGCCCTGAGGCCCACCTCAGCCCTCAGGCTAAGGCCTCCTGGTCTGAAGTCTACCACAGCAGTTCTCAGCACCACCTGGGAACGGGGTTAGAAATGCAAATTCCCCATTCACCCTGGCTCACCAAAGCAGAAACTCTGGGGTGGGCCCCACCGCGAGTGTTAAGAAGCTTCCAGATGACCAGATGAGGCTGAGAGGAGCTGGCCTATGATGCCTGATCAATCTAGGATTTCAGGAGGAAATGAAACTCTAGGCCGCAGGCAGATGCTCTGCCCACGAGTGCCACATCTGTGTCAATCCCTGCTCGCCCTGGGCCTGCCCTGCCCGGAGCAGCAGCGTCGGGATGGCCTGACTCTGGGGACTTTGTCTCTCCCTGGCGCCAGAACCAGCACAGCCACTCGGCTAAGGGGGGGTTCTGGTTCACCCTCGCATGCGCTCGCTCTGCTCCCGACTTGTCCTCGCATGTCTGGTCTGCCAAGGAAGGGCCACAGCTCACACGTAGTCGCGTCCAATGAGCTGGGACAGGGAGTCCCTCCACCTGGGGGATGAGGAAGGACGGCAGGGCCAGAGCTGGCTTCCCCCACTTGCCTGACCTTTAAATTGAGGTGAAATTCACACAGTATGAAAGGAACCACTTTAACCCGCACCGCTCAGCGGCGTTGAGTCCACTCAGTGTTGTGCGGCCTCCACCTCTGTCTGTTCTAGGACATGTTCATCCCCCCAAAGGGAAACCCCAGAGCCATTAGCAGCCACTCTCCATTCCTCCCTGGCAACCACCAATCTGCTTGATGTCTCTGTAGATTTACCTGTTCTGGACATTTCCTATAGGACTCACACAGTAGGTGGCCTTTTGTGTCTGCTTGTTTCACTCAGCACAATGTCCTCCAGGCTCCTCTACGCTGTGGCGTGCGTCAGCGCTTCATTTCTCTCTGTGGCTGAGTAATATTCCATTGTGTGGACGGACCACATTGTGTTCATCCATTCATCCGCTGATGGGCACTTGGGTTGTTTCCACCTTTGGGCGTACACCTAGGAGTGACTTGTTGGGTCATATGGTGATTCTATGTTTAGCTTTTTCAGGAACCAAACTAGCCCGACCCTAAGGTGCACCTGAGGTGTTTGTTGACCAGGTCTCGGCCTCTCCTGGGATACTCTGATCGTGTTCTGGAGTGGGGTCCAGGGACGGGGATTTTTAGCAGGTGCCCGGGTGACCCTTCTGGACAGACGAGTTAGGAAACCCTGACTCGCTGGAGAAGAGTATGTGCGACAGCTGCTTCCCTCACTGCGGCCTCCTCCGGGTCACGAGGATCCCTCCACGCCCGCCCCCTGGTGCTCAAGGCTCGGAGCTGTCTTCCTGAGCCCTCCTGTTACTTACTGGGTGTCTCTGGCCCTCCTGGCTTCCCCGCTCCGTCGGGACTCAGTCTCTGGGCCAGAGGAGGGACCTCCAGCGACTTCTCTTCTCCGCCCCAGTCATCCCACAGAGCCGAATTCAGCAAGCTCAGCCTGCTGCTCCCCGGGGAGCCGGCCCAAGGGGACCGCTCGCCAGCTCCGCCCCGCTCAGTGCAGCTCCCTCGAATGGGGGTGGTGCCCAGGGGGCTGGGGGAGCCAAAGGCCGCGCTGCCCCGGGCCTCTCTGGCCCTGTTGCTGGGGCTGCTGGTGCTCAGGGGGCCGGTCCGCTCGAGGTTCAGGTGGTCGATGGGGATCGGTGAGAGGGGCTCAACACCCCAACAGCAGTCATCAACTGGGATGGGGGGCTCCCCGAGCGGCAGGGGGCTGCTGTCTGCCTGGTGGGGGGCCACCCCCTGCTCCTCGTCACTGTCCTCCACTTCTACCACCTCACCCGCAGTGGCCCAACTCAGTCTCCGCAGCGGACTCGGAGCCACAGGAGAGACGCGCCGGCGGTGCCTGGGCTGCTGGCCTGAAGGGCTCGTGTGGGCTCGCCTGTGGCTCTCTGAGGCTCCTGGGGTGGCAGCAGCCAGACATGGTGGCGCCGTCTGGGGCACGATGACCGGAAATGTACTGGTGGCTTCGGTAACGTCCCTGTTTTCTGATGCGGCCCTGGGCCCGAGGTGAGCCTTTACGTCCACCGAAGTCTTGGACTGGAGGCCTGAGATCTGGGTCTGGGAGGAGCGGTGGCAGCCCCTGCTGGCCAGCGGGGTGGCGGGCACCAGCCACGACGTGTCTGTGGTGCTGGCCTCGGGGCTGCTCTCTGCCTTACAGAAGAGCTGGTGCCGCCCTCTGCCGCCTGTAGGGTCCCCGTGCTCCGGCTGCTGGCCCTCTCCCTGCTGCAGCTCGGCTGCCCTGCCTAGTGGGCTTGGAGAACGTTCCAGATCTGTGTCAATGTCGATGATCGAAAACAGCTCCGAGGACCTGGGGCTGACTTCCAGCACTTTCCTTTCCTCTGGGGGACCATTAGAAACGGATTTCATTCCAGTCTGTTCTAGCACCAGCTCTTCATCCGAATCCAGTAAGAGAATAACGTCCTCATCTCTGCCCATGTTAGACGGAGATCGTGGGGGTCTGGGGCCCAAGTGGCCAGAGTCTGACTGGGTCAGGTCAATGGATGGGGATTTTTCTGGGGAGACCAGTCCCCCTTTACTTTTGCATGCCCACACATACCCGCCTCCTCTGCCTTCCTGGTGGCCTGGATCTGTAAGTAATGCGGGGACGTTACTGCCCCTCCTCTGCTTTGGTGGCAGAACGGGGGACCGTGAGTTCTGGGAGACCACCCTGGACACTGCACTCTGCGATGGGGGCGTTAACGGGGACGAGCCACCTGTGCAGTGGGGACGGAGGTGGAACCTGGAAGGACTCCCACCCCAGGCGGGCTGTGCCTGCACCTGCTGGTGCCTGGGAGAACAGGACGCCTCTGCCTCTTTCTCCACGACCTTTTGCTCCACTTGATCACTTGTTATCCGGGAAGGTTCAGCGTATTCTCCTTGAGCTGATGGGAAAAGCTGTTCATAGTCACCGATCGAGGGCAAAGAGGTGCCTTCCTTCCCTTCTGCCCGGTGCTCGCCAGAAGGGCTGGAGGAGCTGGAATGGTGCAGTGTTTCCCTCGTGGCCTCCTGTTCACGGGTCTCCGTGTCCTCCTTGCCGCGGGAACGCTGGCCCAGGGAGGACGGGGGAGCTGACCGCTCCGCACTTTCCCATCTGGCCGGGGCCTCATCGCTTCCTTGCTCGGATGACTCCTTTTGTCCTACATCTTCCAGCTGCGCTCGGACCAGGATGCTTGCTAGGACACACCCAGAAGCTGGATGGTCCTCCCCGAGCTGGTCAGCTTCCTCGTCTCTCTCTGCTGCTCTTCCCTCTTGGAAGAGCTTCCGCTGAGTAGCTGCAAATTCATAGATTTCTGCCATCTCGGCTTCGTCCACCTTCTCGCTGTCTTCTCCGTGGCTCTCGGGTCTCAGCAGGGCCTCTGCTTCCTCTTCTTCGCCTACCCACATCGACCTCAGGAGTTCTTGGAAGTTCTCCGCCCTGCTTTCACAATTCTCCTCTTCCTCCTCCTTCCCGAGGCCACCCTCCACATCCATCACAGGAGGTGCTTGTTCGCACAGGTGGACAAGCTCACTCACGCCAAACCTGCAACACAGACACGTGTCAGCATCGCCCCGCGTGGAGGCGGCCCTCACGGCCCAGAGTGGGCTGAGGACCAGAGCAGACGCCCTTCCAGGGAGGCATGGCTGTGCCTCGTTCCTGGCCTCTCCCCCTCCCTTCAGAGACAATGTCCACCCTCGTGTCCAGCAACACCCCCAGGCCAGAGTTCTAGAAACCAGACACCCGTGCTACTATCAGGCGGGGCTCGTGGACTCCATCACTCCAAGCGAAACCGCACCAGTGAACTGGGCTGAGTTTAGGGTTATGGTGTCATGGGTTGAACTGTGCCCCCCAAATGTGTGTCATAAATCCTAATGCCTATACCTGTGGTTATAACCCATTTGGGAATGGGTTGTCTTTGTTATGTTAATGAGACAGGATTAGTGTAGGATCTGTTTCAAGTCAGTCTCTTTTGAAATATACAAGAAGCAGATTAAGCAAGTAGAGATGGGGGAAGACAGAAGCCACTCCACATGAAGATCACGAAGGGGCCAAGGAACAGAAGCTGAAGAGACAGGCCCTGTTTCCAGAAGTAACAGGGCGAGAGCCTGCCCCTAGAGCAGGCGCCCTGAATTTGGACTTCTAGCCTCCTAGCTGTGAGGAAACACATTTCTGTTTGTTAAAGCCCCCACCTGTCGTGTTTCTGTTATGGCGGCACTAGATAACTGAGACAATGGGAATCGGTGGGGCCTGCAAAACTGGAGAGCACACGCTGGCTTGGTAAAGGCGTTCAGAACACCATGATGATGCACGGCAGCACAGACCCGACGTCCGGCGGTCGGCAAAGGCCAAGGGGGTGTGCCGCCTGCTGAGGTTTGCTCAGTGCGTTTAAGAGCCTAGAGGCTGAGCGGGTCCTCGCTCAGCAGGCAGCTTGTGGTGACACAGCACAAGGTCTCACCTGTGGCCGTGAGCCTGTTGGGGATGGAGCAGCTCGCCTGGCAGAGCTACGTGCCACGTCTCATAGGACACGGGCGCAGACGAGCCAGGAGAGGGGGACACGCATTCCCTGTGCTTCCATCTCCTAGGACTTGGGAAAGGACTGCTTGGTCCAGCTTTAGTGGAGAGGCCATGGGACCCAGCTCAGGAGGCCACAGTGTTTGGGGAACAGAGCTGAGGCCCACTCTCCACCATGTCCAGGGAGCCACGGTGTCTGGGGGAGCAGAGCTGAGGTCCGCTCTCCACCGTGTTCAGGGAGCCACGGTGTTTGGGGGAACAGAGCTGAGGGCACTCTCTACCATGTCCAGGAAGCCACAGTGTTTAGGGGCACAGACCTGAGGTCCGCTCTCCACTGTGTCCAGGGAGCTAAAAGCCTGTGACTTGGCAGAGGTCCTCAACAGCCCTGGGCACTCCCACCAGGCCCGCTCCGGCCAGTGATGATGCCCTGTTTCCAAGGTCCTCACTGTCATAAACCTTAGATTAAAAAGTATTAAAACCAGCCTCATTTGTGACAGTCTCAGCCCCGGCCTTTGTGCAGTTTGTGTTGTCTACCTGCCTGTTGCTGCCAGTTGCCGTCGAGCCCACTCCGACTCAAGAGACCCCATGTGTGCAGAGTAAGACTGCCCCATAGAGTTTCCAAGGCTGTGACCTTTCGGAAGCAGATCGCTAGGCCTGTCTTCCGAGGCACCTCTCAGTGGGTTCGAACCGCCAACCTTTCGGTTAGTAGCTGAGCGCTTAACCATTTGTGCCACCCAGGGACTCATCAACCTGTGAGTCCTGGTCAGTTAATTTCAAGGGCTGTGAAGTCAACAGGAGGACGAGCCTGACCTGAGGGCCAGAGAGCGCAAGTTGGAGGCCAGGTGGGAGGGCCAGCCAGTGTCCGCAGTGTAGAGGTAACACAGGAAGGCGCAGGCTGCCTCAGTGCTGACGTCACTCAGCAGGACGCGCTGGGTCCTCAGGTCCCCATCTTCCACAGCAAAGAAGCCTTCGCTGTTTACCTGAGGGTGACATAAACAGAAGCCTTGTTGGTTGCACACGCATCACTTGGAGGAAGACAGATGGCCTGGGACGTCCTGACTCTCAGGTCCTATCAACAGGCCCAGGCCCAGGAAGCAGTAGCCGATGCTGACTGCCTTAGCTGGCCGGGAACTCTCCAGGTCAGGCCCTAACACCTCTGTTTTCTACATCAAAATAGGGATGGGTGTTCAAGAACCCAGGTAGTTCCCTCTCGGCAGATACATCAAAGGCTCTAGAACTTGCAGAGAGAGATTGGCAGCAGACTCAGGTTCCTGCAAGGTGGACACTCAAGTCAAACCATGTCAGAACAGCGTCAGAGCAGAAGCCGCTGAAAATGGCCTTCAGCAGCTCAACCTCAAAGGGCTTGACTAGGAGACTTTCTCATTTTGCAAACAGGAACAAAGGAGCCAATTCTGGAAAAAAGGGATTTTCACTCAACCGAACAAAAAAATCTGATGTTTTGCAATCCTGAGGTCTTCCCCTCATACCACTTCCTAACCTCGAACTTGTCCTTCTCTCTTCCCCATTGAAGCGTATGGCAGCGGAGGGGAGAAACGCTCGTTCAGGGCAGTGGTGAAGGCACGGAGGGGAGGGAGGAAGACAGGTGAGAACGAGGGAGGGACGGGGAGTGAAGAAAGCTCAAGAGAGGATGAGGAGACGGGAAGGGAGGGAGTTCAGGGGGCCGTGAGACTGACTGGAGAGAGGCTGCTCGGAGTGAGGAAGAGGAACGCCAGCGGGAGAGGCACGAGGGAGAAGAGGGGGAAGGGCACACGCGTGAGGAGGAAGGGGCTGTACTTACGTGCTGGATGAGGAGCGGACACCGTGCGTAAAGCACAAACTTGTGGGCGTAAAGCACCTCCCCACTGTCCACCTGGAACTGGACGTCGCTCAGATGTGGGTTATTGACCATGGACCCGAAGTCAGTAACCAGCAGGCTGAGGGAGAGCTGAAAGGGGGACGACGGACAGAGAGTCAGTGTCTACCCACTGCCCGCTTCTCGGCCTGAGCTGTGCCACATTCACACACACACTGGGGACGCTAGAGGGGCGAGATCAGGACCCTCTATCCGCTCTCCAACACGGCCCCTCTGCTGGATTCCACCCTTCTGTGGCCTTGAGGCCCTCAGCAGCCAGGAACACCACAACATGAGCTGCTTTCTCACGTTCTCTACTACGATGAATTCCCTGGCCGACGACGTACAGGGCCAGCAACGGAGAAGCTGAACAATCACAAGGACGTGACAACGGCATTAGCAGCTACTGAGCCAGGCTAGGTGCCCCACCAGAACCTGCAGCTGTTGAGTCGACTCCGACTCATAACGCCCTACAGGACAGAGAACTGCCCCACAGGGTTTCCAAGGCTGTAATCTTTATGGAAGACGGGTTCGAACTGCCGACCCTTCTGTTATCCGCCAAGTGCTTTAACCCCTGTGCCACCAGGGCTCCTCAGGTGCTCTGACAGACTGCGTGTTCAAACCTCAGAGCAGCCTGTGAGGAGCGATTATAGCCCGACGTGACAGACGAGGGCCCAGAGTCCATGCAGCTCAGGGACCTGCCAAGACGTGCGCTCCAGGTCTGTCCTCTGAACGCCCGTGCAGTGACGTCGCCAGCCCGGGCCTTGAGGTGATGGACAGTTGGTATGAATATCCTCGTGGGATGATATCCACTCTAAGGAAGGCCCAACTTCTAACCCCACTAGTGAGCAACACAGAAAGCTGAGCTGCTTAGCGAGGCCTGGCCAGGACCCACACATGGTGGGCGCAGTGAGTGCTTAGCAAGCGAGCGAGAGGACCAGGAGCCGAGCGCACAGATGCCCAACAAGGGCGACCTCATGGGGCAGTCGGCCCTCCCTCTGACTCCCAGGACAAAGCTCGCTCTTGGGCCGGTGATGGCGGTAACCCACGTACTTCAACAACAGAAGAAACACAGGCTTTGGGCGGTGCCCTGAGAACACAGGAGGCTCCCCCGGGCTCTCACTGGGTTCACATCACAGGCTGTAGGATGTGGTCAGCTTCCTGGGAAGCAGAGACACTTCATGAGACAGCAACGGAAGGTGTAAGGGCCCAGAGGCCGGAAGCGAGCCCACCTCATGAACACTAGACAGACAAAGAGCGGTTAAGACCATGACGAAAGAAGTGAGGGCCAGACGGCATGGCCATGGCAGGGGTCCCCGTCCTTACCGAGGTGCCGCTGCCCCTCTCCAGACGCTGCTCTTCAGGCGGCAGGACGAAGCCCGAGAGTGGGAGGCTGCTGGGCACCAAATCTATGGCTGAGAGAAGGATCTGTAGGTTAGAAGACGGGCGCCTGAGGGAGGTGTTTGCTGTCCGAGGACATCTCTATTTAAAGCGGAGAGTAGCCTAGATAACATCGGCCAAATGACCGCCTGACCACTTACTCTGGAAACTGTGACACATGTACCTACTTCACATTTACCTGGGAGGAAAGACAAAAGCAGCCACCTACAGTACCAGGATGAGCCATGGAAAGTCTGACCCAAGCTGCCACCACAGTGGCACGGGGACCATGGGCCAGCCAGCATCTTCCCGGTGTCTCACCTGCTTCTCTGCCCCAGCTGGCCTGGCCTCTGCTGCTGGACCCCTGGCTGGGACTCAGCCCCTCTCCCGCCAGGTCCACGAGGTCCTGCAGGGCCTGACGCTCCCTCTGGCTGGAGGAGGGTGACGCCTTCCTGGGGTCGGGCTCCACTGGGTCCTCTACGGGGTTGCAGCCCGCAGGAAGGGAGCCACCGGGGGTGAGGGGCGCCCGCACATCCAGCTGTGGCTGGTCAGGTGGCGTTACTGGCCGCTTCGGCTCCTTCATGAGGCCCTAGAATAAGGCAGAAAGCCCACCCGGCCGTGTTATCACCGTCACTCACGGAACAGAGGGGACTGGCTGGGGGAAATGAAGGTGAGCCTGTTTTCATTCGAAAACTGCAGAGTAGCTCGAGGGCTGGAGGACGAGGGGCCCGGGGTGCCAGCCACAGCCCAGGGCAGCCCTGTGGAGTGCTTCTCCTTCACTGCACGAGTTTGGGAAAAGGTCCCTGGGCCCCGTCCTCCTAAGCAGTCACCAGCTGCTGTCAAGTCAACCCCAACTCATGATGACCCTGTGTGCATCCGTAGTGGAACCGTGCTCCGCAGGTTTCCAGTGGCTGATTTTTCTGAAGTACATCGCCAGGCCTTTCTTCTGAGGCGCCTCTGGGTGGACTCGAACCTCCAGCCTTTCGGTGAGCAGCTAAGTGCGTTCACCATTTGTGCCCCCAGGGGCTCCTCCTAATAGCCTAGGTGGCCTCAGGCAGTGAGCACCCGTCCAGGCCCAGCTGTGTCAGAGCTGCCTGCAATGCTGGTTTAGGATGTGGACTCCGGGACCCCATCGCAGACAGGTGATGTCAGCAGCTCCGGGGCGGGGGCTGGCATTCTGCTCTTTAAACAAACTCACCAGGGACACACTAACTTTGGAGAACCAGTGGGCCTCCGCTCCTACCAGGGAGACAGTCGCCACGGCCGACGTGCCGGGCCTTCCCCCCTTCCTCTCCTGGGACTGGCCGCTCCCAGCCCCGGGTGCCCTGCGGCTCTGCAGCCCTCCCCAAAGCCTGTCCGCAGGTGTATCCAAGGCGGGGGCCTCACCTGGGCTGGCCGCCGGGGCACAATCGGTGGGACCAGGCCTGCCGTGTAGAAGGCCTCCGAGGCCCAGGTTCCGGCCAGGGCGCTGCCCTCCCACAGAAAGCTCTGCTTCCCTTCGGGCCGCTGCAGCCGCCAGCTGGCCCTCTCCGCCTCGTTCTTTAAGAGTCTGCTCGCAGGAAGGGGCGGCATGCTGGACAGCTCCACCTCCTCCGCAAAGAGCGCGGCCACACGCCCCTCCATCTGTTGCCTTGTGGCCTCGGAGTCCTGGACCAACAGCGGCGGCAGGGAAGTAGGGAGTTTCTTCTTGCGGCTTTTCTTCTCTAAACATAAACAGAAGCAGCACGGTCAATAATGGAGCCTGTCCACCATCCGGAACCCGGCAGTCGGCTCTGAGCGAACAGCAGTGCACGGAGGCTCTCCTGGGTCTGCAGCCCGGCACCCCCGCCCCCGCCCCCCTGCACCTGCTCCTGGCTTTATCCGCTCAGAAAAAGCGCTCTCCAGTCTGAGCGCCGGCACAGTCCTGGACTGTTCCACCTCTGATCGGGACAGAGCCATGGCCACCAGCAGGTCCTCAGATGGCACCTCGGGCTGGCTGACCTTCTGCCTTTTCTGGGGCTCCTTCTTGCTGGGGATTCCTTTCCGTTTCAGACTTCCAACTTGAGGGCTGAAGCTTAAAAGGCGGCCAAAGAGGAGAGTGAGTGAGGGCTGGAAGGGCGCCGCCTACCTGAGGCCTGTCCACAAGGGACAAGAGAGCGAGGCCTGTTCTCAGTGGGGACATGAGGAAGCGGGCTAAATGTTCTCCTCAGCGGGGGGACCGGCCACTTCGGGGTCTCACTGTGCTTATTCTACTGCCTCAGGTGAGGCCACGTGATCCTGGCAAAAAGTCCAGCATGGGTCCAGATATTGGTCGGTGGTGCCGGCTGCGCGTGGAAGGATGTGGGTCCTCCCATGTGATGCTGCCCAGCGGCTCCAGCGGACGTAGGGCCGTCAGGGATACCTGCACGCCCCGGCCCAGCGGCTCCCAGTGGATGCACAGAGCCGTCAGGGGTACCTGCACGCCCCAGTCCGGCGGCTCCTGGTGGACGCACAGAGCCATCGGGTACCTGCACGCCCCGGCCTGGCAGCTCCTGGTGGACGCACAGAGCCGTCGGGTACCTGCACGCCCCGGCCCAGAGGCTTCTGGCGGACGCAGAGCTGTCAGGGGTACCTGCACGCCTCAGCCCGGCAGCTCCCGGCGGACGCGGGGCCGTCAGCGGTATCTGCAGCCCCAGCCCGGCAGCTCCCGGCGTACACAGAGCTGTCGGGTACCTGCACGCCCTGGCCCAGCGGCTCCTGGCGGATGCACAGAGCCATCAGGGATACCTGCACGCCCCGGCCTTGCGGCTCCCAGCCGACGCAGAGCTGTTGGGGATACCTGCACACCCCGACCTGGTGGCTCCTGGTGGACGCAGGGCCATCAGGGGTACCTGCACGCCCCACACATGGCCAAACCCATCCAGCGGAGTCCACAGAAACAGCAGGACACTTGATGGCTCTGTGCCAGCTCCCTGGATCCCCGCTGGCTTCTGCCTGTCTACTTCAGATGCCCCTCAGACAGTCCTGTCCACACCTGCCAAGGAAGCGCCCTCCCTTCCTCCAGGGCCCCAAGCATTGCCTCTGCCCATGGCCTGAAGGAAAGGCCTTCTCACTTAGCCGGCACCCTGGTCAGCTGACTCGCTAGTCGAGGTGCAGCTCTCAGGCTTCCCGGCCCATTTGGTGTAGAGGGCTACCTGGCTGGAGAGAACCTAGACGGCCTGGGTGAATCCCACCAGGCTGGGTGCAAAGCAAGAGGGAAAAGGGCAAACCTAGGTACCACCAAGGTCTAAGTGAGCCTTACTTCAGCTCCCACTTCCCGGGAACCCTGTATGATAGCCACAGTCTTCAAGAGGGAAGAGAGCTGCCCCAGAGCCTGGGGTCCCTACATGTGGCAGCTGCCACGGGCTGTACCTCCAAGCCCAGCGGGCAGGGCCTGGGGGGGTGTAAGTATGTAAGGGTGCACACAGGGTGCTCTGACCCCACATTCGTCAGAGGAATTCCAACCACCCCAGGGATCCAGATATCCCAGGCTTGGCCTTAGGGGAGGGGAGTTCAGAGTCCCAGAGAGGGCGTCCCGCTGCTTTAGCGTTCTACTCTAACAGCTTTCTGAAAGGACCCGCACACATTCTGTGTAACTTCCTGGAGGTATTAAAAGCCAGACATGTTGCACCTGAGCAGGGGGTTCAGGTGGTCCCGCCGCAGGTGAGCCCTGGCTTGGAGAGGTCCATCTAGGGCCTCAAGGTTTCCGTCTCCCACGGAAGGAGCCCTGGTGGTGCAGTGGTTAGGTGCTCAGCTGCTCACTGAAAGGTTGGTGGTTTGAACCCACCCAACCACTCCGTGGAAGAAAGACCTGGCTATCTGCTTCCATAAAGATCACAGCAGCCTAGGGAACCCTCTGGGGCCCCGCTGGCGCAGCGGTTAGGAACTCTTCTGCTAACCAAGAGGTCTGCAGTTGGAATCTCCCAGCAGCTCCTTGGAAACCCTATGGGGCAGTTTCTGTCTGTCTCGGTGGCTCGCGACTCGATAGCACCAAACAGCAAGTGCTCATGTGCTGAGACACAGATGGCTCGCTGGCTGAAAGACGTGACCTCTGCCCTCCCACTCTCAGTGCTGGCCCCGCTCGGATGCCCAGAGCCTGTGTGCACGCCGTGGCGGACACACAGGGCCGCTGTGCTGGTCTTCCCTTTGTTCTGGCAGCTCGGGTTTGCACCCCTCTCAGCAGGGCCTATTTGAACACATTTGTACTTAATTCATGCAAATTTTTTAAAAATAGGGTGGTGTGGTTCTGTCTCACTGACTCTTTGAACTACACCAAATAATCTTATATTGTTTTTGTTGGCAGCCACATCAAGTTGATTCTGACTCACAGTGACCCTACAGGACAGAACAAAACTGCCCCATAGAGTTTTCTTGGCTGCAATCTTTATTGGAGCAGATCGCCACATCTTTCTCCCACAGAGCTGCTGGTGGATTCAACCGCCAACCTTTCAGTTGGCAGCCGAGTGCTTAACGGTTGTGCCACCAGGGCTCCTTCATCTTATATCAAGACTGAAAATTGGACCACACTGAGGCGGAAGCCACACTGTACGGGGCGTAACACGGAGGAGGTGAAGTGCATTACCAAATGTTAGCCGCCGCGGTGGGCGCCGGCTGCTCGATCACGGGGTTGGAAAACTCTTAGGAAGGACCTGGAGGAAACCATCCCAGTCCTTTCCACAGACCTGGCTGAACCGCCACTTCACAGCCTTCAAGGACACAGGAGCTATCTCCCCTGAGACCCTTCAGAGACTATGCCTTATTTTCTCTGTAAATCTTTCATTACCAGAAATCAAAGGGGGCTCTCTGTCCCTCCAACGTTGTAAGAAGTCTTTTTAAAACAAACCAGAGTACAAACACTGTTGCTTAGCGTCTCTGATTTACTTGTCCTTCGGACTCACCTGGATGCCGTGCGGCTGCAGCCCGCGTCAAGCTGAGCCGTCTGCAGCCGCACAGCCTGCAGCAGGAGCTGGGGGCCAACCTCCATCCTCACCGCACACTGTTTCAAGTGGCTGCTTCTGCTCTTGGAGGTGAGAAACAGCTTGCCACAAATGGGGCACTCAGGGATCTGAGGGGCGGAAGGTCTTAGTGCCTTTTCAGCCTCATCCAAGCACCTAGAGGGAGACAGCAGAGAAGAATCAGCCTCCTGGTGATATGGATCGTAGGCAACAGGGATCCACGTCCCCACCGATACACGGTGGGTCGAAGCATGTTCCCCCACCCCATCACCTCCACCCAGCATGGACGTCTCTTGGCAGTGTTGCTGCATGTAATAAGTCAGCCTGCAGGTACTCAGTTTAGGTATCTGTTAGCAAAGGTGGCTAAAGAAAGCAAGGACAGATTAAACTCAGTTTTCAAATGGCCCAGCAATTGCACTCCTAGGAATACACCCAAGAGAAATGAAAATATACGTCCACACAAAAACTTCTATACAAATGTTCAGAGCAGCACTATTCACAACATCCAAAAGGTGGCAACAACCCAAATGTCCATGAACTGATAACTGAGTAAGCAAAACGTGGTCTCTCCATACAGTGGATTGTTCGGCCACAAAAGGAATGGAGCTCTGATACCTGCTGGAACTGGGATGAACCCTGAAAGCATTACGCTAAGAGAAAACAGCCAGACCCAAAGGCCACATTCTGTCTGAGTCCACTGACATGAAATGCCCACCACAGGCACATCCACAGAGACAGATGAGGGACGGCCTGGGGCTGGGGGGCTGGGCGGAAATGGGAGAGCCAGCTTAAGGGGTCTGGGGTTTCTTTTCAGGTGATGAAAATGTTCTAAAATTGATTGTGGTGATGGTGGCACAACTCTGAATATACTACAAACCAATGAACTGGACACTTCTGACGAGTGAGTCGTACGGTACATGAACTGTATCTCAGCAAAGCTGGTAGAAAAAACAGGAAGGAAGGAAGCGAAGATGGAGGTGCCGCTGCCGGGGCGAGGGCTGTCAGGATTCCTGCCTCAGCCCCGGGCGGCCCTGGGCTCCGGCTGCGCCCTAGAAAGCTGACGTGAGGGCTCCTCCTACCTGTTCACGTGCTGCTCCCTCCGCGTCACGTTCATGGCGGAGAGGTTCTTCTGGCAGATCTGGCAGAAAAACCATCCCTCATCCTCCAGGCCCTCTTCACGTGTGGGTGCTCGTTCCTGCGCCAGCTCCTGCTGCAGGGCCAAGGCCACCGCGCCGTCGCTCTCTGTGGCAGGGGACCCGGGCCCACAGCCTGAGGAGAAGCCCCAGAGACCCATGAGGATAAGCTCCAAGCACAAGCTCACCCGCACGCGTTGCACAGCACGGACAACGACAGGTAGAGTGTGGAGAGCCCAGCCCCCAGCACCGCTCTGCAGGCCTGGTGGCACGGCTCGCCTGGTCCCCAGCACTGCCCAGTGAGAGTCAGCACTCCATGGAGCTCCTAGAACAGTACTGGCAAATCTACCTATGCCTCATAGTCACCTGGGAAGCCTGCGAAATGCTGGTTTGGATACAGCAGGTCCAACTGGAGCCTGAGCGTGCATTTCTGACCAGCTCCCAGGCGCCGCTGCGGGTCCATGGGCCATGGGGGGCATATCCAAGGCCTAGAGGACTCACCTTTTGTTTCTGTTAAAGCCGGCTACCTCAGGCGTTCGGGTGTGCACGGCTCCTATGCCGACAAATCAAGGGCTTCCCTTCAAAGCTCAACCTCTCCTACTGCGGGGACCTTTAACGCCCGTCACAGAGGAGCTGGGTCAGAGGGCAAGGCCTTTCTGAGAAGGTAGACACCAATGCCTCAGCAGAATGTCAACTCAGGGATGCTGTAGACCTTTGGGTGGTCTGAGGATCCTCAGTGCTCTCAAGGGGAAACTGCAAACGCAGTGCCCAGAGAGCACATGCTCACTAACTGGAGGTCTGTCAATGAGGCACCCCGGAGGCACAACGGTTAAGTGCTCAGCTGCTGAGCAAAAAGGCTGGTGGTGGCTGGAACCCACCCCGTCACCCCACAGGGGACAGACCTGGCGATCTACCCTCATGAAGATTACAGCCTAGAAAACCCTCCAGGGCAGTTCTGCTTTGTCACGTGGGGTCGCTATGAGTTGGAATCGACTCAACGGCACCCAACAACAACTACAAGGTCTGTCAACATGGTTTCTTCCCGTTTCTCTTTCTCTTGCACATTCTCGTCAGAGATGAGCATCTGTATGGTTTAGGGATAAAGGACAGGACCACCTGACAGGATGTGCCGCACGGGTGGTGCAACAGGAAGCACAGAGCACCTGTGACGCATTCTTGCCAGAATGTCGGACCTGGATCTGATCAGACCTCCAGTTTACTTACAGGGGGTTAGAGGAAGGGGTTAAATGACACCACGGGAAATAGACAAATCCAGAAAGTGGGAAATTGTTTATAAGACAATTTTAAATTGACTTCAAGAAGTCAATGTCGTGAAGAAGAAAAAAGGTGGAGAACTGTTCTAGGCTCTAGGCGTTAAGAGATGCCGAGCTGTGACCACACGTGGTGTGTGGAGTTATAGTGACTCCTCGTTCAGAAAAAAGAAAACAGCTATTGAGATATCCTGGGGACAACCAGGGAAATTAGACCCTGGACTGGGTACCAGGCAACACTATGGAATTAGGTGTGATCATGGCACTGAAGTCATGTAGGACCCAGTTCTTCTTAGGAGATGCACACTGGCGTATCCAGGGGTCAGGTGTCATAATGTCTAGAACTTACTTTCAAATGATATATTTCAAATGTATATTTACAGAGCGAGATACAAATATAAATGGCGAAACGTTAACAATTGTTAAATCTGGGCTGAGGGCATTGGGGGTTCATTGTATCATTTTTTTCAACTTTTCTATATGTTTGAAATATTTCATAATAAAAATTCAGGGAAAGCAAAAGAGAAATAGGTACCTCGTTAGAGAAGCTAAGTGAGAAAAGTTTCAAGGGGCTTCCTTCTCTCGCGAGAGACAGTGAGCTGCCACAGGTGGAAACCACCCGGCAGAGAGCCTGCCCAGAGCAGACACGCAGTGACTGCTGGTTCCTTCCTGTCTCCCTTTTCCTGGAGTTATAACTTATCTCTGTTCGCAAGATGAAACATTCCCGTCATACCATTCCCCACCATCGGCTCCTCTTGAGGGTCCTTTGGGATGTTTTCTGCAATCTCAGCCTCGAGTGAGCACGCTCCGGAAGCATGTTTCAGACGTGCGGGGTCTGCTCTCTTGAACTGCTGCATTCGCTGGAGGACCAGCTCTGCCGTCCGCGGCTTGGAGGGACTGGGAGGCACCGCGGTCAGCCCGGAAGAGGGGAGCTGGGCATCACTGCTAGGAGCACCCTCTAGCAAGGAGAAAACATTCACTCGCGTCCGTTCTCGCTGGAGAAGCAGAAGACTGTTCCCCCACGTACAGATTAGACCCAAGTTTCAAAGCAGTGCTTCACCAACTAGAGTAGGCGTGACTGCCAAGTGGGAGGAGGACTGGCTGGCTGTTGGCAAACCTCGCTGTCGTGGTAATACAGACATAGTGACAACATTCGTGACAGGAGAGGCGGGTGGGGCGTGACTGCTAATGGTTACAGGGTGTCTTTCTGGGGTGAGGAAAAGGCTCTAAAATTAGATAGTGGTGGTGGGTGCACAACCGCACAAATACACTAAAAACCCCTGAACTGTATACTTTAAAATGGTGAATTTTATGGAATAAGTTACATCTCAAGAAAGCTATTATTACAGAAATATTAACAACAAACATTTATCTCTTTCTAGATCAGAGGTTCTCCTTTAACTTGGGGTGCACAGGTGCCTTCAGGTCTTTCTGGCCTCCCACGGACCCCTGAAGTTGTAAGTCAATTTTGCAGGTATGCATGTGGGTGCGGTTTTCTGGGGAATCGTGTACAGCTTTCCTCCCAGTCGCAGAGGAGCATGAAGAACCTCTGTTTCGCCAACATTATGGAAGCCTCACAACCGTCTCTGTGGGCTAAGTCTTTACCCAGTCTCCTGAGACGAACTGCTGACCACACGAGAAAAAATAATAAAACTTTAAGATCAGGTGGTGAAGGTAAGAAACACTTAGAACTCAGGAGCCCAAACTTCTTGTGCTGTTATAAATGCAAGGGTGGTTTCAGTTCTGCATGAACAAGGTATCCTAAGCCTATGCTCAGTGTGCTAAGGGCGGCAGAGGGTTAAAGCTGCTTTAAACAAATAAACAAATTAGAAAATAGAATAAAACGTCTTGGGTCGAAAAAGGAAAGACCTGAAGATCCCTTGGGACATAAACCCACATGTCACCCTCATACTGCCTCCTCAGTAGCCTAGCAAAAAACTGGCTAGCCTGTTCCAGCTCACCTGCTTTGGAATGAATTTGAGAAAACGAATTATTTTCATGCTCTTGTAACTCATGTCAACTACATAATGTAAGCATCACTAGAAACTTCTGAAAGAGCAGAGGGCTCCAAACATAGTCATGCAAAAAATTCACACAGGGATTGTATTATTCATGACTGTTGTTTAAAACAGAGCCCTGGTGGCACAGTGGTTAAGAGCTACAGCTGCTAACCAAAAGGTCAGCAGTTCCAATCCACCAGCCGCTCCTTGGAAACCCTATGGGGCAGTTCTACTCTGTCCTGTAGGGTCCTATGAGTCGGAATCGACTCGATGGCAACAGGTTTGGTTTTTGTTTTTTTGGTATTGTTTAAAACAAGAGTCGGCAAACTATGGCCCTCAAGCTGACTGCCTGTTTTTATAAATAAAGTTTTACTTGGGCACAGATACACCCATTTGTTCACATACTGTCTCTGGCTGCTCTTGCACCACAAAGGCAGAGCTGAGTGATCGTGATGAGACCGTATGGTCCCCAAAGCCAAAATACTGACTTTCTGGCTGTTTTCAGAAAGTTTTCCAACCCCTGGTTTAAAGTGATACAGATCACGTCTAGTTCCCCGTGGAAACGTCTGGCAGTGGCTCATGCTCGTTACCTGACTGGGTGCTCTGCGCACTGTCCTGGGGCGGTGGCTGCTCCGGAGCAGGCGTGGGAGCCAGCACACGGCCCTTCCCATTCACCGTGGGAGCTGGTTCCCGCCCCTGTGACTTGGCAGCCCCTTGAGTTTTAGTCCTCGTGGCCTGGCTGCCAGATTGCGTTTTCTCCTCCGCGGGGCCGTGAAGGGTTTTGCTCTTGGTAGTTGTTCGTTTGGGCCTTTTCGGTTTGCTTCTTATCTGAGTGCCGTCTGAGGCCTTTTGCTTCTTCCTTTCTCCCGACAATTCCTTGGTTCCATTCTTTTTCACCCTTTGGAAGAAGCTGGCGCAGAGTTCTTTAAAATCATCATCTGACTCATCCATCATCTGACCAGCTTTGAGGTGTTCAGGTTGGTTTTCTGAGGGGAAGGGGCTGACCCGGGTGCAGGCGCACCGATGAGAAAGTCAAGCGAGGTACGCCTGGCCCGGCCTCGCTCAGATACCCTGCTTCACAGGGCTCCTCTCCCCTCCTCACTGAGATTCCTGGAGTTTGCCCGACTGAGCTGTAAGTACCATTTGCTCCTCCATAATGATTTCAGATGTCTTTCTTCAAATTGGGCCTGCGGTTAAACAACATGTTTTAAACTTCCCTCTGTGAAAGTTCACATGTGAGAGAATGCTTTGTGGTTCGATAGATGCCTCTGAGATAGAATAAACATGACTTTGGTGCTCAGATGGTTCTTCAGACTTGCCATGGTGGTAGAGCAGGTTTGGTCCATTTAATTTCACATCTGTGGAGAACCAAAAGCATCTAAGTGTCATGAACAGACATTGTGATTTTATGCCATTTCTTCCAGGAAAGTACAAGAGCAAGTGGGGTATGGAGAAAGTCTTCAAACAATACCCCTGTCAAATACTCAGGTGCTGCCTGGTTGACACCGACTACGGGACACCACAACACAGCGGGGAGACAGACCCAGAAACCCGTTAAAAGTATATTCTTCCACAGGCAGAAGGATGTGTGCATTTTGGGAGAGTACTGTTTTTACTGAAATTTGGGAAATAAACCCCATGAAGGGCAGTCACTACAGAAACAAGATGATCCCTAGATCCAGAAAAACTAGCTCCTACACTGGTCTAAGGAGCCCTGGTGGCACAATGGTTAAGCGCAGCTGCTCACCAAAAGGTTGGCAGTCTGAAGCCACCAGCCACTCTGTGGGAGAAAGACCTGGCGATCTGTTCCTGGTAAGATTACAGCCTAGGAACCCCTATGGAGCAGTTCTACTCTGTCACATGGGGTCGCTATGAGTTGGAATCAACTCCACGGCACCCGACAACAGCAACAATGCTGGTCCAAGGCCCACAGCTACTAGAAGCTCTATCAGCAGACCCTACAAGACTAGAAACACACACTGAGTGAGCGAGAATGAAACAAAATGCCCCCGAGCACTTGGGAGACAAAAGACAGGAACACAAGAAGCTCGTCCTTCATGATAGAACCGATTTTTCAAAAAAACCCAAAAGGCCCCTTTGCTCCATCCTCTCACCCCAGCAAGAGCTCTGCAGACTCAGGTGCCTGGAAGGCTGCCTGCATGCAGGCCTTGGGCGTCAGGGGCATGATTACTTACTTTGGCACAGTTTAGTGGGGTTCAAAAATCCAATGTGAATGACCCAATGCAATCTCCACTGACCAAGTAACACGACTAATCATTTCACTCTCCTGAGCTGGGCAGATACACACACCTAGAATCTACTTTGCATGGCTGGCTCATTCTCACCTTCGATGTCACCTGCTCAGAGAAGCTTTACCTGGTCCTTTACAGAAGCAGATCCTCCCCACCACGGCATTTATCACCAGTTATAATCGTATGTGACAGATAACATTTATTGAGTGCTTACTGTTTGCCAAGCACCCTCCCAAATGCTTCACAAGTCTTTAACTCATTTAGTCCTTACAAGGAGCCCTGGTGATGCAATGGTTAAGCGCTCAGCTGCTAACCAAAAGGTTGATGGTTTGAACCCAGCAGCATGGGGCTCCATGGGAGAAAAGACCTGGCAATCTGCTCCCATAAAGACTACAGCCTAGGAACCCCTATGGGGCAGTTCTACTCTGTCACATGGGGTCGCTGTGAGTTGCAATCGACTCGACGGCACCCAACAACAACTGTCCTTACGGCAGTCCTACCTCCTTTATAGCAAGCAGACAGGCCCAAGCAGAGTGAACAACTGGCTCAAGTGCACACAGCTTTCAACGTGGCAGGGCTGGGAGCCAACGCAGGCAGGCTGGGTCCAGACGGGCAGCACTTATATTTTTAGTCATTTACTTATTATCTGTCCCTCTTAAGTGAAAACATCACAAGGACACAGGCCCATCTGTTTTATTTTGTATTCTCCTTGGCTGATCCGGTGTCTGACTTGGAATAGGTGCTGGACAATGATCTGTGGTATTAATTAACTGCAGAGTTCGGTATAAACGGAGAGAAGAGAAAGCGGTGGGACAGGAGGCTGCAGAGAGAAGCAGAGGTCAGCTCACGAAGGCTTGGAACGCCAGACTAAGCAAACTGAATTTTCTCCTGTTGGAGGTGGGGAGTAGAGAGAGCCAATTCCACCTCCTGTGCAACTGCGCTGAGTCTCTACATCCCGGTTGATACTAGTCTTACAACAGTCCATCTCCTGCTGTTGTTGTTAGCTGCTCGAGTGGGCCCCCAACCCATGGCGACCCCATGTGTTACAGAGTAGAACTGCCCTGTAGGATTTTCTTGGCTGTAATCTTTGAGGAGTCTCTGAGTGGCACAAACGCTTAAGCGCTTGTCTACTGGCTGAAAGGTTGGTAGTTTGAAGCCACCCAGAGACACCTTGGAAGCAGGGCTTCAAACTGTTGGTGCTCAAACCCCTGCTGAGAATTTGCATTTCCACCCTAGACACACTGAATCAGAATCTACATTTATTATCTTATGTATAATAAATTTTAAGGACCACTGCTCTACTATAGGGTCGCCTGGGAACTTGTTAGGAAGGAACCTGTTGGAAGCCCTGTTTGGCCGATGGCCTGGCAATCTGCTTCCGAAAGGTCACAGTCTTGGGAACTCTATGGAGCAGCTCTGCTCTGCACACTTAGGGTCACCCATGAGTTGGAATCGACTTGACGCTAACTATCAACAATCATTACGGAAGCAGTTAGCCAGGCCTTTCTTCCGGGGAACGGCCAGGTGGGTTAACCGCCAACCTTTAGGTTAGCAGCCTGTCAGAAACAGCCTGGCCACCCAGGCCCCTGTCCATCCCCTACATGCGTTCAGTCAATGTTTGCTGAATGCGGAAAGGGGTCCTCGGAGACTGCAGGCTTGCAGAGGGCAGGGGACTTGCACCCACTCGGCTTTGTATCACGATCGCGCCAGGCCCACCACGATGGGCGGAATGAATAGACGGATGGCAGCGGAGCGGACCCTCCCTCCGTCCCCCAATCCGGCGTCACACGGAGGGGGATCGGGGACCAGCCTGGGGCGGGGCAGCCAAGGGCTCTGACGGCTGTTAGCATTCCGATCGCGGTGAAAACTCCGGGCGCCAGACGGACCCTCGGGCCGTGACCACCGCAGCATCCGGATCCACCCCCTGCCCCTTCAGGCGGGCCCTCTCCACCCAGGCGCGGCTGCTGCCTCTACACCGCGGCTGCGAGCCTGGCGAGGCCAGAGGGCCAGCGAGGGAGGTGGGAAAGAAAGGCCCGCGGCGACAGCACCGTTTCCTCCAGGGTTCAGACTCCCAACCCCAAAGCCCGACTCCTCCTACCTCAGGCGCCGCCGCGGCACCGTCTCAACGGAGAACGACGCGCCTGCGCGTGCGCCGCCCGACACCCTCGCGAAGGACTGAGTTTGCGCAGGCGCGGAGAGGCCCCGGAAACCCGCTTCCCATCGTTCTCTGCGGCCCTGGACGCGCGATGGAGAGCGTTTCCGTTCTGCGCGAGGCGGGGCGGAAGTACCGTGCCTGTCGGGCTCCGTGGCCGAGCTTCGTGCTGGGCTGCGGCCGCTCCCGGAGAAAGTATGGTAAATGGTGAGGGAGAGTCAGGGTGAGTTTGGGGTACTGTCGCAGTCTTAAAGTTTGATTCCATCACAGTTCACATAGGAAATGTTCGGTGGTACAATGGCGGTCCCCTCGGAGCGCATCTGCCTGTGGAGTAGACAAGAGTAAATAGAGTAATTTGGAGAGGCACCAAATTGGGCCTAAAAGGCCGGGAAAGCTTCCTTCTGGGAATATAAGTCGAGGCCTGGAGGTCAGGTGGAGTAAACTACGTGAGGAGAGGGGTGTACAGTGCCTGCCGCGACCACCCCAGCGCTTCCACCTGGTTGGTCATAGTTGTCGAGGGTTGAGGGGCAGGTGAAGCTGCAGAGGTTGGCCACTGGCTGAGATTTGAGGAACTTTGTAAATCGCGTTAAGGGTTTGCACTTCATCCTGTGGTCATTGGGAGCCTTTGGAGATTTTGTTTTTTAAAGACCTTTCAGTTGCAGTGTCGAAACGGATTGGGGGAGCCAAGACTGGAGGCTGCTCTCATCTCGGTGAGAAATGAGGTAACCTGAATTAAGGGTTGGACTGTAGAGGAGAGGCGAGAATGGAGAAGTATTAAGGCGTTAGAGCTGTCATAATCTAGTCATTTGTTAGGATTTGTAGGTTTCTGGCCTGGTGGTGCTGTGGTGAGGTGTTCAGCTGGTAACCAAAAGGTCAGCAGTTAATCCATCAGTCGCTCCTTCGAAACCCTAAGGGGTAATTCTGCTTTGTCCTGTAGGGTTGCTGTTAGTCGGAATTGACTGGACGGCCTTGGGTCGGGCCCGAGCTTTTTTTTTTTTTAATATAAGAAAAATGAATTCATTGAAGTGTTTATAGAAGTTTACAGAAAGAATGTTCCTTAAACCTGAGATTCTCAACTGAATCACCTGTGGAATTTTTAAACTGGTAGTGCTTGGACACTACCGTTAGAGCTGCTGAGTAAATTCCAGGGGAAGGTTTCCACCTGTGTCTTTTGAAAGTTTCACAAGTGATTCTGATGGCCTTTAGATTAGGAGCCCCTGCATTTAACCACCTAATGAGTAAATTCTGTGGGCTGAATATAAAAGAGATGCCGAAAGGTGGATGAGGAGTAATTGGGATTTAGAGTTAAACGTGATCCCTCCCTTTAAGGAGCAAAGTTATCCAATAACTGGGGCTGCTTTCTCTTTGGCCTTTTTCTCTGAGTGAACCCTGGGGGCCCCCTTGACCCGGACCCCATTGTGACTTATCTCCAGCAGAAGCTCTGGAGTTCACGCTCTTCTACTGGAATTAGGCATAAGTTACCCAGTGTAACTAAGGTGAGGGACATTCTCCAGCGACAGTGTTACTAGGTTCATGTTCATTGGGAATGCTACTATATTTTCCCTGCCAAACATTTGAGGGAGAAACCCACAACACTACCAAAACACTTAGAGAAAGGAACACTTCAAATTTTAAAAGGTCAGTATTGTCCTTGTATTTGATAAACACGGTTTATCAGAAAGCGGAAATGAATGCAGAAGTGCGTGGAAGAATTTAGACACACTCACTGTAAGGAGTGTTATTCCAAGTAGAGGCTCTGTTTTCCAGGCCTTTAGGAGTACATCATTTTGAGTCCGGGGGAAACAGGAAAAGGTTGAATGTACTGTGATGATCACTAACTTACCCTCCCGGGATGTTTCCTTTTTTTGGAAAGTCTTGGCATCTTCTTCCATTGAGTTAATGTTTTAAACAGTTCTGAGGAAGAAATGAAAGGCCCTTGTCCCAGGTCTGAGGTTTGGTTATAAATCCCAAACCAAAATCTGCCCAGCTCCCTCTCATTTATCTTGGTGGGAGTTGGAAACAGGACAGATCGAACAAGGGACGAATTGCCTTCTTAGTCCTTTGGTCATATAAATGCTTCTATTTACGGTGCTATAATCCCATTCCCTACTCTGCCAAAACTGTTGAGATCAGCAGGAAGAATAACTGTTTTCCATGTCAGAGTGTACAGAAGTTACTCTCGGTTAAGCTGCATTTCTCTGTATCCCACCACTGCCACCCTTTGTGTGATGTAGCTCTGTTAATTTGCTAGATGAGTTCAAGAGGAGGTTCCATGCAGATGTACTGGCCTCATCTGCAAAACAGCTTTTTCCCTAATAGAGGTTGTAATGGAACTCATAATTTTGGTGTTAAAATTAAGTCTTTCACTTAATGTTAAGATGGCAATACTACCCAAAGCAGTCTATGCAGATTCAGTGCAATCCCTAGCAAAATTCCAACAGCCTTTTTTGCAGAACTGGAAGAGCTGAGCCTAAAATTCATATGGAAATGCAAGGGACCCCAAATAGCCAACAAAACAAAGTCGGAGGACTCACAGACTTCCCGATTTCAACATTTACTGCAAAGATACAGTAATTGAGACCGTGTGGTACTGGCATAAGGATAGACATATAAATCAGTGGAATAGAATTGAGAGTCCAGAAATAAACCCATATGTTTTTGGGCAACTGGTTTTTGACAAGGGTACCAAGACCATTCAGTGGGTAGGGAGGAAATAGTCTCTTCAAAAAATGGTGTTAGGACAACAGGATATCCATGTGCAAAAGAATGAAATTGGACCCTTACCTTATACTGTGTATATAAAAATTAACTCAAAATGGATCAAAGACCTAAATGTAAGAACGAAAGCTAAAAAACTATGAAAAGAAAATGGGTAATCTTCATGACCTGGTTTGGTAACGGTTTCTTAGATATGACACCAAAAACACAAGCAACAAAAGAAAAAATAGATAAATTGGACTTCATGTAAATTAAAACCCTTTGTGCTTTAAAGGACACTAGCAAGAGAATGGAGCCCTGGTGGCTTGTAGTTAAGAGCTACAGCTGCTAACCGAAAGGTCAGCATTTCGAATCCACCAGCCACTCCTTGGAAACCCTATGGGGCAGTTCTGCCTGTCCTGTAGGGTCACTATGAGTCGGAATTGACTCGACAGCAATAGGTTTGCTTTTTTTGGTTTTATCAAGAGAGTGAAAAGTGGACTCAGAATGGGAAAAAATATTTGCAAATAATATGTCTGATAAGGGTCTGTTGTTGTTAGCTGCTGTCAAATGGCCCCCAACTCATGGTGACCGCGTGCACAACTGAACGAAATGCTGCCTGGTCATGCACCATCCCATGATTGGTTGTGGATTGGACTGTTGTGATCCATAGGGTTTTCACTGGCTGATGTTTGGAAGTAAATCACCAGGCCTTTCTTCCCCAGGCTTCTTAGTCTAGAACCTCTGCTGAAACCTGCTCAGCATCCTAGCACCACACAGCCTTCACTGACAGACAGGTCGTGGCTGCGCACGAGGTGCATTGACTGGGAATCAGATTGCATGGAAGGCAATATTTTTATTAAACACTTGTGTGTTCTTTGTTGTTGTTAGGTGCCGCATAGGTTTTTCTAGCCTGTAATCTTTACAGGAACAGATTGCCAGCTTTAAGATCCCAGATGCTACTCACCTCGCTAGGATGCAGAACATGAACTTCGTGATGCCAGTTGATGGAGTTATCTATGACAGTAAGGTTCTACACCTTCAAACCCAGAAAACCATTCTAGCAAAGTGTTTGGTTATGTCTCGGAAGTATCTAACTGTCCTCTCTGAATACATATGTGTGCACACACATATCTGTATGTACACATACATATAGATACATTTATCTGTGTATACGTGTACTCACCTGTACTTGCCTGTACACATATATGCCTGTACACCTACATATGTGGTCATACACTCATGTTTTGGTTTTAATTGGGCTTTTATTAATATTTTTGTTATAAATATTTGTTGTGAATCTTTCATAAATTTTTTGGTCGACGAGAAAAATAGCTGTCTTTATTTTTTTCAACTTTGAATATAAATTTGGGAAGAATTATAGTTTAATAGAAATAATCATAAAAGTTTGGAGACTTATTTTTTGGTCTGTCAGGTCTGGAGTTCATAGACTTTTTCCATTTTTAAAAACTTATTTTGAAATAATTTTAGATTTAAAGAAAAGTTGCACAGATAATACAGAGTTCCCGTAGGCCCTTCACCTAATAACAACAACAAAGCAAACCAGTTGCTGTTGAGTCGATTCCAACTCACGTGTTGCAGAATAGAGCTATACTCCATAGGATTTTCAGCTGTGACCTTCCAGAAACAGATCACTGGGTCTTTCTCCCAAGGTACCTCTGAGTGGGCTCAAACCTACAACCTTTTGGTTAGTAGTCAAGGGCTTAACCGTTTGCACCACTCAGGGATTCCCGCCCTTCACCTAGTCTCCCCTGATGTTAACGTTTAGGGAACCACAGTACAATTATCAAAGCCAAGCAGTTAACCTTGGTACAATACTATGTATTGAACAACAAACCTAATTCCTTTCTCACCCGTTTTCCCATTAACGTCCTTTTTCTGTTCCGGGATCCATTCCAGGATCCCGCAGGCGTTCAGTCATCGTTATCTCCGTTGTCTCCTCCGATTAGAGAGTTTCTCGGGGTTCCTTTGCCTTTCATGACGTTGACATGTTACACTTTTGTGTCAGTTATTTATAGACAATTATTTTGAAGAATGTCCCTCAATTTGGGTTTGATTTTTTTCTCATAATTGGATTGGGGTAATGCATTTTTTTTAAGAGTTCAGGTTTTTATTCAACATGTTACAAAAGTGGTTTAATAAAAAGACCAAAGCCTGTGTCATCACTGGACTCTTCAGGTTCTTCTTTCT